GGAGAGGGGGCCCGGGGGTGGGAGGCAAGTCTGCGTGGGAATCAGAGAACTGCTTCGGGACCGAGTGGAGCAGGGAGGCTGCCCTGGGAAGCACACAGATGAGCATAGAAAGGAGCTTAGCTGGCAGCTAAGGGGAAACCCACCAGCCCAGGAAGCAGCAGGTCCAGGAGGAAGCGCTAAGAGGGAAGAGCGTTATGAAGGCTGTTTCACAAAAGGCAAATGACACTGAGCTGGTATCATTACCATTGTATGCAACCATGTAGGCTCGATATCCTGTATAACATCTGCGTAATCAAATTATTCTCTAAATGTATTGTTTCTGAGAGTGTAAAAACTGAAATTCCATGTGACTCAGAATTTTGCTACAGAATTTATTATTTTTAATGATATTAATAAATGAAAATGTAAAAATACTGCTTTAAGAAGAATACATTTTCCTTTCTGTCACATACTTATACCTGAATAAAATTTTCTTGTCGTTGGGTATATAGTAATCCCGGATTTCTTTTATGATAAAGGTGCTGCATGGAAAATCTCGAGAGAGGCTAGGCAGAGGGTTGTAAGAACCAATGAGACGCAGTTTCCATCGTGAGGCTAACACATATGTGTCAGCAGTGTATGCTTCAGCCACAAATGTGTATCCTTTCTATAAGAAAAAAGAATTGCACAGAACTAAGTCACAGTGTCGCTAGTCTCTTCAATGTATAAATGTGTTTTTTCAGTACTAAACCACTTCATTATGTTAATATACATAAAAATCCCAAGATCTTTGATTAGCATCAAATCAGGAGCATTATTTCTTGAAATCCCTCTTAGAAAGAGCCATCTTACATGTTTTCAGAGAAAATGAATAGCTCTTAACACTTTGATGTGTGTGGTTCCCTAGCTATACAATAAAGTGCTTACCGGCAGTAATAAATACTGTATTTTCTTCTAATTGTTTTAATGATTGCTAAGGTAGGTTTTTATCATAGCGTCATCCTGGACCAGCCCCAGAGCTTCCTACTTGATATCCCTGTCTTCTCAGGATCGTCTTTCTAAATACAAGAAGAGCAGCAGAGACTATGGAAATGTAGTTCCTTTGGGATGACAATTGGCAGGCAAAGCTGTCAAATCCACAGCAGATCTGGTTCCACGAAATCCAGAGGTGTGTCTGGAGACGAGCTCTTTAGATTGGAGGAAAAAAGCAACTAAGGAACAGGGGACACTGGTAACGCCATAACCGGCAATAGCTGGGTTCAGCATAATTGGATATCTGGCCAAGGCATCAGTGAAGGAAGAGATGATAAGATGATAACGAAATACAAAGAAGCATAATATCCTAATGAGACGCAAGAGCTCAAAGTAATTCTGAGTTTGCCATTCTAGACACTTCTAATAAGAAAGAAAGAGAGAGATTTGTATTCCAGTTGCTACCGGATGCGAGGAAGCTCTCTGATGTGTTTAGATTTCCAGAAACAAAAATTAGGCATACACAAGGTAGAATAAATTCGTAACATTGCAGTAAGTGTCTAGGAATATTAAGTAGAAGTCATAATGAGTTGAGAACTGCAACACCAATCAAGACCTTCTGATATGTTTAGAGCAAGGAAAAAAGGAAGACAAATCAGGTTTACAAAAATATTTTTATCTGCCACTTGTAAAGCAAAGACTTACTGCTGTTTTCATTATTATTTGAACTTGGGTACTAACGCATTAAGGAAGCAAAACAAAATCACAGGACTCTTACTTTGTGTTTGTCTAGACTCAGAATAGCTTTGAGAGGAAAAAGAAGAGTTGTAAAATAAGAGGATAGATATTGGTAAGTGAAAATCTAAAGCTAAACCAGTGATGGGATTTTAGGAGAGCACCTGGCTTATTCTAAATGATTTTAAGACTCTCGAGTAAGAAGAGTAACATAATAGAATACTGCATACTGAGAAACTTCATAAATGTGTATTCTCGGTCACGGTTTTTGAAATATGAGAAAACACAACAAACAACTCTGAATGAAACTGTTTAACCCTCTTTTGTTTTTAAAATCTAGAACATTTTACTGAAAATGCATCATTTAGAACCCCCCACATGCCCCTCGCCCCAAATTCACACTTAGCCTCTGAAGGGAGATCTTCACTGGAGTTAATAAACAAAAACCAAAACAACCCGAACACACAAAGTATGATAAACGATAGATGTAGGTAAGTATCAGATTCTTTTTTGGTTCGACCCTAATGGTCCCTACCAAAGGTAAGCATCAATGGCTAATATAAGTTTACTTATCTAGTAAAACAGAGAGCTCATTTCTAGAATTTGATGACATCTATGATCCTGATAGAGCCTCCCCTTGAGTGAAATCATCTTTTCCATATTAATCTTTGTGATTATTATTTCCAATGACAAATAAAATAAATTTTTCTATTTAGAAGGAAATCTAGGTCTCAATTTTGCTGTAAACCTAAAATTGCTCCTCCCCCCAAAAAAGTCTTATTTTAAAAATCTCTAAAACAACTCAAAGGAGCTATTAGATTTTTTATGGAGTCATTAAACTTTTTATTTCTCCTATAAATCAGTACTTATTAGATAGATGTGTCTTAATTTCTACAAACAAATGCAAAGAATTATAGACTCATATGAACCTCAGAAGCCAATTACAACCACAGCTCAAAGAGAAAAAGGCAGTTCAAAGCCATCCAGCTAAAAAGTGGAAGATCACAGCTAAAATAGATCACCTGGCTACCAGTACATGTGTACACTCTTTCTGTCATGCTTCCCTCTCAGAGGAAATGAGCAAAAACACAAAGATGAGATTCAAATAGAGAGGCAACATGATTTTGGTGAACGTCGGGGTCTGTCACTAAGCAGGAGTAAGGTGCCAAGTGCTCCTTTCCTTGGCACGAATCTGTAGCCCTAAGAAAGACGGGGTGGTGGATGCTGGGTGGCTGTGTAATCACAGTCGCCTGAAATATTTAGGAATAGGAGAAAGACCTAGTGGGAAATTGAGACAACCAGCTGATTTGATTCAGGGACAGGACTAAATGCGCTCTTTAGCTCCATTTCCATTTTAAGGGTTTGTGTGACTTTATGATTTCAATAATGAGAATTTCCATTGCTTTCTTTTTCTTATTTTCTCTGGAGAGAAGAAAAAAGAGGGCTGAGAGGTGAATGTTCTAGCACTCACATTAATTACCTCCTGCTGTCATAATGGAACTTCTACCAAACAAGATCATGACCTTACTGCTCTGTTAAGTAGATTGAAGGCATCTCTGTTCTATTGCCCCCTGAAACCTCTACAAAGTGCAGGCTTCTCATGGCCATTCTATCAATGGGGAGAATGAATTTCACACCTACCTTATTCTTGGCATAAAGATAAGGCACCACTCTTTGGAATAACTTTGGCACTTGTTCCATTGTGTCATTGTTAACAACGTGGAGCATACAGACCGGAAGTGTAGTATATATTTTGGGAACCAAAACCATATCTTGATGAACCAAAAATATTTCTCTGTAATTACAAAAGCATGAACTTTTCCTTGACATGAATAGTAAAGAAAGTTTGAAATTAGATTTGATGCTAAAAAATAAAAACATAAATTTAAAGTTCCAAGTAACTACAAGGGACACCTACTGTTTTCCTTTACAAGTTATAATGAACACATCATTTTGTCATATAAATGCAAACATCTTAGGAAATCCGATTTGTTAAGTAATTTGTCACTTTTACTTAGTATACTTTTGCTTAGAAATTAAGTGATTTCTTTCTATACTAAAAGCATACCAATTTATTTGGTTATCATACTCATAAATATGTTCTAATAATTAATTCTCATTTTTCATATTTTGTTTAAGAAATCATGGATGAACACTCCTATACTATCTCATTTACCATAGCTGGTTTAGAAGAAGTTTTAAGTTGTGAAAGCAATACATTTACTACTATCATGATAAAACTCTATACATACCAATATTGATGCCATTTAAGGGAGACATCGCTTACCAATTTATGAGAGCCTCACCTGAATACTATAAACCAACTATTTGGTGGCTGGTCTGGGTAAGTTACAGTATAGTCAGCAAAAGCAATCTTAGTTTCTTCATCTTGATAGCATGGATAAGATTCAATAGACTTGCACTTGCTTTTAAACATTAGTCTAGAAATGTGAAAATAATTTAAGTACCAATGGCAAAAGCAATTTTTAAAATAAATTCTACTTACAAAAGAAGAAATTGGCAAAATTAGCATAAACTATTACAATCCATTGTTGGCTGCACTGAGTCCTTGATGAAAGCGGAGCTGTGGGGCTCTCGGGGCATGGCACCAAGGTGGGGAAGACCACTCCAGGTCAACCATGAAAGATGTCTCTCTCAAAGGTGCCCAAAGTTATCTGAAGTTCTTTGTCAAGGGAGGACCTAATTCATGATTGAGGGAGTAATCGTGTTTATAGATGGAAAATCAGTACCAAAGTTCAAGCTATATGGGTAGAAAAACTAGAAGCAGTCAAACTAGCCATTAAACTGTGCAATAGCCAAGAGAGTTCCGGTGTTAATATAGAGAAATCCGTACTAATACTGAGTTTAAAGTGAGGAATGGATTTGGAAAAATAGATTTAAAAACAAAAACTAAGGCCTTGACCAAGGGAAGAGTGCAGAGTTTCCCTCTTACATGATTTCTGTTGCGTGACAGAGTGGCGGGTGCAGCTGATTAAAGAATTATGGGCTGAAGTGTCTCTGTTTGCCCCCTGGAAGGCTGTGGCATATCCCAGAACATAATGAAGGCGGTCTGAGGAATTCTCCAGGTCCCATTCTTCCCACTCTGCCAGGAACTAGATCTAGCACCAGGAATCTAGGGTCTTTTATATATAATGTCTCTGGTATCAGCTGGGATGGGAGCCATAATGACCATAAAGAATGGTTCCCTACAAGAAGTCTAGACAGAGCTCCAGGTGCTCTGGGCTTCCAGATGGCTTAATTGTACTGTCAGTGGGAAGCAGAGCCGTGGGGATTCTCATGGAGGACAGTATTCCTATGTCCATCCAATCGTGTCTTTGGTGGTGAGAGGAAATTGATAGGTTTACACTTGGAAGGGTTTTAAGCCTTTTAAAGTAGTCACAAGAACTAAGAATGACCATATGTCCTAGTTTGCCTGAGGCAGCCTGGTTTATGCTCACAGTCCTGGCATAATTATGAAGACTGTTCCCTCTGTCTGTAAGAGTGGCCCAGTTTGGATGACAGATACCCTGATCCCCCTAACGAGGAGCTATAATGTGGTGGTCTGGCAATGCGGAACGCCACCGTCGACCATCTGGGGGACGGCCTAATCACTGTTCCTGACACAGTTTCTACCCTTTTTCATACACCTCAGGAAATTCTAATGAATACGGGGACCACCAAAGTCTTGATTGACCATATGGGGTATCTCATATGACCCAGAGAGGTATCACTGACAAGCTTGAAATATTTTGTTTTAACTTTGCATCCTAAGATGTGTGCTCTCTGCACATATCCATACAATTAGACTCTAAAGCAAATTAGAAAACAGGGGTTCTGGAGCAAAAGTTAATAAAGCTGGAATGTCAGACAATAGCAGTAATGACGTACCTCTCTCCCAGTTCACTAACCTCTTCTATTCTGCCAAACCTGCTGTTAAACCCATTAAGAAGTTTTAAATTTTGATCGTTAAAATTTTTACTCATGTGACTTCCATTTGACTGTGCTTTATTAATCTATATTTTTAATCTATTTTCCTTTCTTTAGTCTTTCTTTACTTGGGTATTTTCATAATAGTTACATTTAGAGATTTTGTCTGCTTAGTCCATATATAATTTTCTCTGACTTTTGTTCGAAATATCCTGTCTTGGACCTGGTTTGTGACTAGAATGCAGTTTTCCCAAGGTTCAACCTACTTCTGATTTGTCCCTGTTTCTAGAGCATTGTCCTCCAGAGATTTCAACTGACAACTTGTTTACTGGAGTTCCTCCCCTGGGGGGTCCTCCACTCTAGCCTTTGCTGTACTTATATCCCCAGGACTATTCTACAACAACCAATTTGTACTTCATACTTCCCTCTTTTTCACCCATCCCTCCAAACCCCCTCAGTACCATAAGACTTCAAGAAACTCTCACAGGTTTCTGCTAAGCATTTTAGAAAAGTTCAGTTAGCACAGCAAGAAGTAGCAAGTACCAGAGAAACATTTCAGATAAAATACTGTGGCTGTTCAGAAGCACTGGAGAGTTTCTAGATGAGTGATCAGGGGAAACTAGTCACTGGTAGCATTTGAACTGAAACTTGAAGGCCACCAAGATACTACAACAGTAAGTCAGACAGAGAAAGACAAATACCCCATGATGTCACCTATATGTGGAATCTAAAAAAACAAACCAACCACAAAATGAGCAAACAGGCAAAACAGAAACAAACCCATAGATACAGAGAACAAACTGATGGTTTGGAGGGATGGGTGAAAAAGAGGAAAGTATGAAGAAGTACAAATTGGTTGTTACAGACCAATCATGGGGATGTCAAGTACAGCAAAGGGAAGACAGTCAATGGTAGTGTAATACCTGTGAATGGGGTTAGATGGGTACTGGACTTATCTGGGTGATCATTTCATAAGTTATAGAAATGTCTAATCACCATGTCGTACACCTGAAACTAGTATAATATCATATGTCAACTATAATTTAAAAAAATAATTTAAAGCAAAGAAAGAAATATCATTATATTGCTTTACCTTAAGAGAGAAACTGCGTACTGTTCTATATTAATTTCCAGTATAGTCCAAACTTTTTGAAGAGTATCTGCAACACTGGCATTTTCCTTTGTGTCTAAAAATAACAAAAATAACAACGTAAAACCTGTAAGTTGCCTGAAAGATTATTGTGGTCAAATCCTTCCTTTCACAGAAGAAGCTGAAACTCATGAGTCAGGTGGGATCAAAGTCACAGGCTTTATTAGCAGCAAAATCATGTTTAAACTACAAAGTATATCACTCTAGTTGAGAGTGTTGCTCACCATTTTTTGCTGTGTCTATTTTTAGTTCAAATATAATAAAATGTTCTTTGATCTAACTGAAATACTCATTAGTGAGTTTACATTAGATCTTTTTATCACATCAAAAATTCCTTATGAAAGTTCTTATGTCAGAAAAAATAATCCATCCAATTTTTCTAAAAAAAAGCCAGTGGCTAATAGGATTCCACTGAAGTTCAACCTAAAGACTAATCCACAAAGAGCTTAAGAGTGAATGATTTGGCAAGAAAAATGCAAACCCATAGTAAATGCATCAAGTTTAATACCAGAGACATTTTGATGATTCTCATTAATGTTTCAATAGAGACATTTCTTACAACAAAATGTTTCAGTATACTCAAAGAATTGTACTGGAGGCAAGGCTTTCCCTATGAAAATGTAGGCAAAAATTGCAGAATGAAAATAATTAGATATAATTTTTGACTCTGGAGTATTTTACTGTAACAGGCTGTTAAACCTTTGCACAAAATAGTTTATCTTATATGAACAAATATACTTGATTTAATATATATACTAATACACTTAAAATGAAATTTATGCCTTCTAAATGTATGTCACTGTGGGCCTACATGGAAGCCTCTTCATTCAATTCATTCATTCTTTCTTTCATCCGTCCACTCATTCATTCTCTCCTTCATTCATTCACACTTTCATTCTCTCAATTCGTTCATTTGTTCACTGCTTCCTTCATTCTCTCGTTAATCCATTCATTCTTTCTGCAAATATTTGTTGTGTGCTTACTTTGTGCCAGGCAGTGTGCCAAATTCTGGGAACGAGAGAGTGAATGTACTGACCATGCACCTTGACCTCAAGGAATTTCAATAGAATTAAAAATAGCTTATCCATAAAGAAAGATGACTCTAATATATTTTTCCATTAATACACAAATATTCATTTGCATAGAGGCAAGTTCATTTTATAAATGACTGAAAAATTGTACCCGGTGTCCTGGCTCTCATAAGCATTCTGACGTAATTCCCCCGCCACACGGCCTGAATTTTAATCGCTGCCGCCACTGCTTCTTGATCATTCACTGGCACACAGTATTTCACATCCACCCATTCCCCTGGAAGAGAAAAGCAAACATTGCACTGAAAGTTATATTTAACCCCTTCCCCTATCTTCAATGCCTTTAACTACTGAAGCCGTCTGACGTATAGAGTGCCACAGCCTATAGATTTGTCATTATATCGAACACTGTCCTCTGTACGTGGTCCTTTCTTAGAAAGCAAAGGTCCTGGAGAAGGTAACACGCTAAATACTGACACCTTAGTGAAATACTATTGCTTCTTCTGTGAAAGGAGCAAGAAGTTTCTCTCAAAATTAAAGGAAAATGGTAAAGTGGTGGAAAGACAGTAGAGTATTGGGAGAGGAGGAAAGAAGCGTCACTTGGATCAGAAAAGCTTCCCACACTTCCCCCAGTCATGCTGCACATATCAGTGAGCTGCAGGCCGTTGAAGGTCAGGGACAAGCGAGCCAGGGCGATCCTGGGTGTGTGTGGAGTGGGGGGCACACACAAGCACCTCGGGATCCTGGGGGTTCCCCAGAGCACAGCCTGAACTCGACAGCTGTGGGCACGAACCTGTTCTAGTCCCTCACCCACAAACACCTCGGCTGCACTTCTCTCAAATTGTTTCTCTTACATACGCCCAGGAATTCCTTTGTCAAATAAATATCTAAAATTAATCGGTACCTAAAGAAGCCTCTTCCAAGGGGGAGTCGAGAGTTTCAAAGTCGAAAACTAAAGCATGGAATGCAAATTTAAAGTTTGAAGGAGCTTTTGTTAGTTGAGCTTTTTTCATTAAACGCCATAAGGAAGTGCAAAAAACCTACAGAAAACAACAACAGTTATTGTATTTTTTAAGCCAGTAAAATACCATTACCTGGTCACAGAGGTCTAAAAAACTTTAGATACTCTACAAATTTTTTAAATGTATTTCTCAGATATATACACAATCTAAAAGAAGACTCTTCAAAGACTCACTCACCCAGTAAGAAACCAAAATTATCATTTGACTATTTCTAATTTAATTAAATGTTATCACTATGACAGTGTTTACAACGCACCCTAGATCAAACTATAACATTAAACTGGTTGAAAAGATACAGCATAAGATAAAAAAATATGGTCCTTGAACTTAAACAAGTTAATACCATATTTTATTGATTCTAAGATGCTGTGCGTTGTATGACATACTATTATTTTATGTGCTACAAGAAAGAAAATAGACTACTTAGAATTTTTATCATTTTCTTAAAAAATAGACTACTTAGAATTTTTATCGTTTTCTTACTGTCTATGAGTATTTACTTCTTATTGAAAAAGCTCTTTTAGACTTAGGCACCGTTTTTCATCATGTATCAAACTTAAACGCACATGAAAAAAATAAAGCAAGCCACTTAAATTGGTTAAGGGCTCCAAAAACTTGGATTCGTACTCCTACTTCTGCAAATCAATTTTTGAAAATATTCAGCATTTGTTTTTCCCATATAATTTGGCCTTTATGTTTTCAAAGACTTTGAAGATGCCCCATTGCCTAAAGAAGGTTCTACTTTTGCCCCTGGGGTTTTCTGAAGCCACTGACCCCCTTTCAAAAAGCTTTGGTGCTGGCTCATTTTTGATCTTGCCAAAGAGGACTGAGGGAAGGTTTTTAGACCACAGCAAAAACACATATTCCTCCTTCCAATGTTTGCTCATGGTTTTTATCCTGAAATGCTGAGGGACTCCATTTACCCGGTCGAGCCACTGAGAGTGACAATGAAGCCACAACATATTTCTGCTGGCTCCTTTCAGCTACTTACCGGGCCACAGGAAGTGATGTGCTGGGTGGGTCATGCAGAGCTCCTGGGGTACCATTTGAGGTGACCTTTTTGCCAGTCACACCTTTCCCTCTCTTTTTGTTGTTTGAGCCCTGAGGGACCCATTTTGGTCTGAGAAAAATCTCTCTCCCTTCATGATTTTTTCAGTCTCTACTTAATTCTCTGCCCAGAAGGCTTTTGTCAAATGATACACATAAATACACGTATTTCTTTTGAAGCAGTGGCAATATGAAACCTTATAACAAGTCCACACATGCACAGAGAGTTTGGAGGTCACCTGGCCAGCAGCAGTGATATGGAACCACCAAGTACAGGACACACTCTGATCTCATTCTGATGTAAATGTCTGAAAAGAAATGTGCATCTTGGAATATTGGTGAAGTACAGGTCCCTTCAAAGGCAAATAACTATCACAGTTCCTGCTTCATCCACATTTTCTGACAACCCATCAGCCTTCCCCTCATGTATGAAAACAGACACCTAGTCTCATAACCTGCATATGTACCTGCCCCAGCAACTGGCAGTAGTAGACAAGCCTGAGAGCAAGCAGTCAACCCAAGCCGAGCAAATCATTGTCACTTTGGCCAATAATATAAAATTAGGACCAAGACATTCTAAAATGACCTTATATGGGAAAAGTGTGTAAAACTTAGGAGCCATATTTTCCATGGCTCTACTTAGAAGTACAGAAGACTTGGCTATAAATAGGGAAAAAAAACACAAAAACAAACTTCTAAGGATCTTCTGTTCCCTCTTTGAAGTTACTCACTGAGTCCCTCCTGTCCTTAGCTGTAAAAGAAACGTCCCCGTATACTTATAATAGATCAACACATCCAGTTTCTTGATGTTTTCTGTGACATACTAAAAAGGCCCTAAATATTTCAACATTTAAGGTAAAAATTTTAAAAATCAATACATAAGCATGTTAATCCTTTTACTCTGTTACAGTGGAGTGTTCAGAGTCCTTGATCACCTTGTCCTTGACATTCTACATAGTACATCACTCTGGCCGATGCATGAATGTTGATGACTCTGTGAACTCTTTCTGCGGGCAGAAAGTGGCCAGTACTCTGAATTCCTGATAAGACACACGTGTGCTAGAGAGTAGGGATTAAACCCTATAGAGATTCATGGATTTACCACATTAGTGGAGATTTTAGGCGTCCAGAGGGCTGGATATGCTGAGACATCACCTCTGTGGTAAAGGGTAAGACACCGCAATTAAGAAAGAGGACAGTGCTTGATGACCTCCTATCTTCCCTTTTCTTAGAGCATTTCCTTTAGAAAACTCACTAATTTTAAGTTCTTTCTCTCTCTTTGAAATGTATGTAAATCTTTAAAAAAAGCTAAATATGTCCTTGCCAGCTTTAAGATCCAGAACTATCTTTTCAAGGACCTGGGAACCATCTCTTTGAAAAGTAATCCTTCTGGGGGGGAGGGCTGGAAGAGATTAAACAAAGAATTTATAGGCCTATATGCATAACCTGGGGACACAGGCAATCGTGTGGTGAAGGCCTGGGGAGGGAGTGGGAGCAGGGTGGAGGGAGTCAATGACGGGGGGAGGGAAGGGGACATCTGTAATACTTTCAACAATAAAGATAAGTTTTTTTAAAAAGTAATCATCTGAGAGATGATTCCGCCATTTCCCAGGGTCTGAGGAGGGTCAGAGCCTAACTTTGTGGGGCACCTAGCTCCAAGTTGCAAAAATGACCTTTTGTCATAAACACAGGAGAAGTTTATTTTTCTTTTGGTTAGAACCAATTAGTCAACTCAGTCAACCATCCCCAGTACTGAGTGAATTTAGGGTTCACTCTGTGTGATGAATGGTGCTATCACAAAGTCTCTGTTTCACTCTCTCCAGGCTCTTTGTGAAGCCAGAATGCTCCTCAGCCCCAGCAGAAGTTGTAACTGTGGGGAAGTTAACGCCCCTGGGAGCAGCCATCTGCCAGTGGGAAAAGGGTTGGCTGATGTGTCACAACCTCCCATCCTTTAGCAGGACCCTTCTGAGGGATGTCCTGCAGTTTATCAGGGTCCCCTGGACAATTCAGCCCCAGCAGCCCACAGCAGCCAATACTTCATCCTTTCACACATATTTCCCTCCTTCCCATCTCATCCTGCCTACTCCCATCACCTCTGCTTCCCAAAGTCACTTTCCCAAAGTGCTGTCTCCCTCTGTAATATTTGCCAGGCCCCCTGGGGGTCCCTCTGTGTAAGCGTGGGCGTGGGCGCGCTCACCCTGTAGTGCTGGGCCGTCAGCTCCTTGCTGTGCAGGGGCACAGGGTAGAGGGCTGCCTGCAGGTCCTTCAGAGCCGCAGGGAGCTTAGCCTTATCTTTGAAGTTAGTGATCACGTTTCCGATGGCCTTGAAAATCGTGAGAGACTGCTCTGTGAATCGGAAGCTCTCCTGTGAAGACAAAGCATCGCAGCCAGCCTCGCTTGCATTTCCTGCAGTGCAATTCAGTTTACAAAAATTTCCTTTCCGTGACTATATTAAATCTCTGTTGCACGCTGACTCAGCAGTTACTTATGGAGAGCTCATTTCATCAAGGCCGTCGGCTGGGCGGCGTCGTCTCGGATATAAAACAAGGAACGTGATCCCCGCCATAGTGGGGACAAGTAGGGAGACTACCTACCTGATACGGGGGCCGGGGGAAATCTCTCTACGGTATTCATATCCAGACCAAGTTCTGAAGAACGTCTAGGGATCAGTCTCACAAAAACTGCGTGGGGTTTGAGGACAGATGGGCAGAGAAGAGTTCAGGGAGAGAGCAGCAAAGATAGAAAGGACAGGAGGGTGAACTAGCCTGGGTCCCTCCTGCTGTCACCTAGGAGGAAACAATAAAAGCAGGGAGATAGGGATGTGGGCAAGGGAATGGAGGCTCCTCAGAAAGTTAAAGACAGAACTGCCCCGGGATCTAGCAGGCCCACGTCTTTGTATACAACCAAAGGAAACAAAAACAGGCTGTTGAAGACACAGCTGCACTCCCCCGGTCACTGCAGCTCTATTCACAATTGCCAGGATAAGGAAACAACCAGGGGTCCATCAGCGGACGACTGGATAAAACAGAGGTGAGATTCACACGTGCGCACACACACACACGCACGCACACACTCTCAAAGGATAGGGTATTATTCAGCCACGTGAGAGAAGAAAATCCTGGAATTGTGACAACACGAACAGACCTTGAGGACATTGTGCTAAGTGAAATACGTCAAACAGAGAAAGACAACTACTACTTCATGGTATCACTTGTGTGTGCAACCACAAAAAATAAGCAGCAGTCAAACTCACAGAAACAGACAGTAGAGAAGTGATTGCCAGGGGCTGGGGTGGGGGAACAGGGAGAGGTCGGCAAGGGCACAACCGTTCAGCTGGAGGCTGGAAGGTGACCTAATGTAATACGTGGTGCCTACAGCTGATCACACTGCACTGTATCACCGGAATGTGCTGAGAGTCGAACTTAAACGTTGTCACCAAAAAAATATGTGAGTTGATGGATGTGTTAATTAACTACATGGGGGTATCCTTTAAAATGTAAATGTACATCAGATCACCACGATGTACACTTTAAATATCTTACAGTTTTATTTGTCAATTATACTTCAGTAAAACTGGGGAAACAAAGAATTGGATGGCAGATTGCAGTAGGTCTGTAGTTTGGAATAAAAAAGGAGAGAACCCTGAGGACTTTGCCTGTTATCTTGATTGGTGCCCAGACCAGAGTTGCTTGGAGGCAGCCTGAAGAGTGGGGGTTGGAGGAAAACTTTGTAACATCTATTTCTGCCCTTTTCCTAGTGGGCACCATGGTGCAATCGCTGCTCCGTGGTTTCCTGCAGAGCCGTGGAGGAGTGGCCGGCAGGTGTGCCTGATGGCACCGATTCCCAGCTGGGGGGAGAAGCCCATGAAAAGCACGGACTGAGCTGCCACTCAATGCGTTTACATCTCCATGACCTCCTGCCAAGCTTCCCCGAAGCCTAGAGACTTTTTTCAATGGTGTTTCTCCCTGAGGAGAAACTATGATTATTAACGTGTCTGGTCAGTTGTTGGCACTGGGAGTGATCAGCATGGCTCAGAGCAGCAACAGCCTCTCTGCTTTTGAACCAGCAGGTCCCCTTCTGCCTCTTCATTAGAGTCAAAGAACACTGGGGCCTGGCCTTGGGCTCCAGTAATTTTTATAAGATGGAGAAGCTGATAACCCCAGGGAAATACAAGTTCACAGACTAAAATAACTAAGCACTAGGAAGTTAAATCACCTAATGAAAGAAACAAAGCCAATAATCCATGTTATTTCAAGCAGTTTTTGTGTGGGTGTTTTTTTTTGGTTTTGTTTTTTTTAGAGAAAAGACAAAACAAGAATGTAAAATAAGCAGGGTAAACAGAACCAAGGGAATGAGAGATATCTATTTATAAGGTGGGCTTGCTGGCCTTCCTCCGTGTCCACTGAGCAGGAGGGAGAGGCCTGGTGAGAGAGGGTGCAGAAAGATCAGAGGCAGCCATGGGGAGGCCTCCACAACCACTGCCCAGAGAAGCAACAGGGTGTAGCCTGAGCTTGTCTGGGCCACAGAAATACAGCACAAGGGAGCTGGTCTTAAGCCAGCTTGTTGCTGCCCTGACCAACAGGCTTACTGTCCGGTTGAGAAAATCCTGTGTTACGAATATGAAAATGTGCTGTGTGGAGATGGGTTGGGGGAGGGATAAAGCTGACTTTGTCGTGGGAAGGCCCCATGCAAATCTACATGCCTATATATCAGAAGAGAAGGCCGGCCCGCGGGGGAGGTCTGACCCATTTACCGCCTCTCTTCTTTCAGAAACTAAGGAGAGGCCAAGGGGAGCAGGGGGAGGTGAAGGGGAAGTGCCCGGACCTTCCATGGACCCTCTCCTCCTGAACCCCAGGGACACGCTTCAAGTTCCTTAGGCCGAGGGAGAGGCATCGTATCACAGTTTTAGCCTGGATTAAAAAGGACTGTACTGGTCCTTCGTACCTCCCGAAGGACCACTAATACTATGGACTCTGTGTGAAATGTTAGCAGATGTGAGAGGGTTCAACAGAGCAGAGGGGAAGGCAGCTTTTGGAGGGAAACAAAAATTATTTTATTTGTGTCCCTACAGAGTGTTTATGGTACACGTCCCATTCGGGAATTTCTTGCAGAATATACTTACAGCAGTTTTGAAAGGTTTAAAGAACAGGTAAGCCGAATACAAAATAAGAGTATGGTTTAGTTCAAATTCTTTGAAAGTAAGGCACACGCACAAAAGTCACGGTTGCTGAAATACTTACCGGCTCAAAGTTGGGCAGCACGACGTCTTCATCGCCGATGACAAAGTTGACCAGGCTGCAGATGTGCAGGGAGTGGCCCACCGGGGAGTAGGCGGTGAGCAGCAGCAGGTGCCTCCTAGGGGGGAGGGGTCGGTGAGGACCGGGGTCTCCCCTGCCGCACCCCCGCCTCTGTGTGTTTCTCAGTGACGGCCTGTGCTCAAAGTCACACACTAGTAAGCGCTGAATTCTTTAACACGGACGGAATAAAGAGCTTTGAATTTTCACCGTGAAGAACCATCAGATACCCTGGAACCCACATTTCGCTAACCGTCAGACACAAACAGTTACGCTAAGTGACAGATGTGCACTCGTTGGCGGTTCCTCCCACGCACTGCAGTGACGCGGTGAAGGAGTCCTGATTTTTCCCTCGCAACGATCACTCATGGTGGTGAAGGTCTCTTTGTAGATTTCATAGTCAATTTCCCACAAATACGTAATTGCATGAGTGTGGCTTATGTCTCTCCTACACGGTTGTAGTGTCACTAAAAGCCAGGACGTTGGCTTTATCTCAGTTGCTGAGCAATTAGAGCGTGTTCTAAGCACACGTGTTGACAGGCTAAGCCCAGTGGAGGAAAACATGAATGTAAGAAGATTCTTTATTAGTTCCCTGCCCTTAGTTGTCTCGATGAATGAGCACTCAGAAAGAGTCTTGGTTTCTGAGAGAATCTCTCCGTGCCAGGGTTTTTAGGGCAGATGTGAGAAATACTGGCGTTTTAATATTTACTATTTTTTAGATGTATTAGATGCCTGCCATTGATTACTTTAGCATTTGGTTCTGTTGCTTCTGCTTTTCAAAAGCTTGTCATTCATCACATAGAAGTATAGGAAAATATAGGAAAAATATTTACTTCATTTGAAATAGGAGGTAATATTTTGAAATTCATTTACCACAGTCAAGAAAACTCTTCAATTATAACTCTTTTCTTTAAAATGGAAAGTGTTATGCGATTAGCAGACTTTACCTTAATCAAAAGCAAAACTACAGGTAAAATTAAAAGCAAACTACAGATAAAACTGTAGACTGGCAGGGGAAAATGCTCTGCTTCTCATCTGCTTTAAATAAAATCATTTAAGAAATCATTCTCGCTAAGGAACTTAATAAGATTTACAAGAAAACTAAAAGGACTTTTCAATAAATGAATGTTAGGTAATGCTGGATTAAACAAGTTTAAACCCTATGTTTTACTAATGAAAATTACCAGATTGACAATTATGAATCTTCTGAAAGGGTATCAAGAACCATAATGACAGACCTGTTTCTTCAAATCACTTTAGGGATTTGATTGTTTAATTATTTAATAATTAACAGCTTATGAGGCTTTAAAGGATTCTTACTGTGGGAAAAACAAAGTCATTCCATACCCAACAGGCAGGCGAACCATAGAAGCCTTGGTATTATAAGTATGAATCTTCATAATGAGATCACGTGGCTTCAGAGATTTCCAAGAAAATGTTTCAACTGTAAGGAGTCCAGGCTCTATGTGGGGGCTGTCTTTTGTAAGAGCTAGGAAAAGTGAAAAGTATTTAAATTTTATTGGTAGAGTGTAGCTGGCCTTCATTTCACAACATACAGTACTACTACTACTACTACTAATAATAATAATAATATTAGGAAATGGAGATTGTCTAAAATATTCATAAAACACTAGAAACTACCCTGGGCAAATAATTACTGGAAATAATATTCAAGAGGAGCCCAGGCCTTCTCCCTGTCCTGTTTTCTTCCTCATAATCATCCCCTCAGGTGGAGACACAAGCAATGGGAACATTAGGGAAAGGAGGGCAGACAAGGACATTCACCGGGGGATACCATCACTTTCACTATCTATGGCAGCAATTACAGTACACCTCTAGATGCAATAAAAAAAAGAAAAAAAAGATCACATCTGGGAAAATAAGAGCATTTCCTAAGGTAATGGCAAAGCAAGGTCAAAACAGTCCTAAGTTTTTTTACTTTTGATTCTTAGCTTTGGGTGTAAAAATTGCATATAATTCACATAAATTTAATTTTAATATTAAGTGTTGTCTCTTAAAATGAATAAAACGTATTAACTTTTTCATCTGCAGCTAAGGGCAAAATACTTTTTAAATTAAAAAAAGCTTGAGATAAAATTTGACATATAATATTGCATTAGTTTAAGGTGAACAGCATGATGATTTGATATAGGATCTATTGTGAAATGATTATCACAGTGACATCCATCGCCACACATCATTTTTTTCCTTGTGATGAGGACTTTTACGATTTACTGTCTTAGTAACTTTCAAATATACAACACAGTATTGTTACCCACAGTCACCTCTGGGGCTTGTCCTTTTACCCTATTTCCAGATAACACTCAAGCTGAGCATATAAGGTCCCAACATGACCCAAAACACCTCTATGGACATAGAATTTAAATGTTTTAGGACATGGTATGGCTTAGCAGCTCTTGGTTAGGTAGAAATACTAAACGTATGCCGCGAAAGTTTGAAACAAGTATTACTAAACAAGTAATACTTACTTGTAATAATTACTAAACAATAAATACTAAACAAGTATTTATTGCCCACCTGCTACATACCAGATACCATGCAAAACACTGGCTATATCCTGGTGGAAAATCATAGTCTTTGCCCTCAAAGTTGGTAAGAGATTCAATATTAAGCACCCAACAAATATTTATTGAACCTCTATAGGGCCAGGTACTGTTAATTCGAGTTAGAGATAAATATTTTAAGAAAACAAGCCAAATAATTAAGAATATCTTGTGCATACACATGGGTGTGTGTGCAAGGGGCTGGTTCCAGAGAGAAGCGGGGGAGTCCATCCATTAGAAGAGGAGGGAAGGCTGACTAGAGCGGGGGAGAGTCTATTACGGGAGGACGAAGCAGGTCATTTCTGATTTTTTTCCCTATTTCTTCAGTGAAAACAGCAGCAAGGTCATCGGTTGAAAATGAGAAAGGATGAGAGTGGGTTTTGCACATCTGAGGGAAGAGATCTGAAGGTTTGAGATGTCAGCCAGAGAAAGGAGAGTGGGAGAAGAAATTAACTTGAGAAATGCCACCGGTGCCCGGGGGCCTCTGTGAGATCTGTGGTCCTCGATCTAAAGTGGGGCTTGGCTGGTGGGACTGTTTTTCTCTCCAGTCACATCCAGCTGCTCTGATGTAACTGGTGCAGGGTTCCATCGCTGAGTTCAACCAATATTGTGAGTTTTCCAGGTAAGTAAGAAGAAAAGGTAAGAACAAGTGTGTTGGTGCACACGTGAGAATCAGTGATCATGGTGGGCCGTGGAAAACATGCTGAGAATGAGAGGAATGAAGGTGCGAGGAGACTGATGGAAAGAGAAGCAGTAGGGATGATGGACAGTGGTCCCAGTGGAGTCAAACGATTGTGGGAGTGAGAGTCCCAGAGAGTGAACTGGAGAACTGGCGTGTGTGTGTGTGTATGTGTGTGTGTGTGTGGCCAGAGAGCTTGAAACCGAGATGATGGAGACGATGCAGTTATTGGCACGACGGGTTCTGAAGTATAACCATGAAAGCGAGGGGGCAAGATGGGATGGGACCGAGATCTTCAGAAACGTCAAGATGAAGAAGGAAGTGTTCATGGCCTTCAATAGATTATGACTGAGCGCCCCAAGGAGGTGAACCGACGACTGCAGGGAGAGGTGCGGGGGCAGGAGTGAGCGCAATCCTTGGTGTGCGAGGAGCAAGGCGATCATAGGAGATGGTGTGAGTGCTCCTCTCCCAGAGAGTCTGAAGGGGAAACAAGTTCCTTCATCCAGAGCCTGAAAATCTTACTGTTGTATCTCCCCTGGACTGAATCAAAGTGAGCTGGGCTTACGTTATCATTTGCTCAGAGCTTTCTTACCTCCAGATTCTCCCCAGCGTACCAAGGCAGAAAAGCAGATGAGCAGTTCAATAGGTTTTACACTGTCCACAAAGAGGTAGTAGGTCACTCGCTCATCTGAGAACTGCAAGAAAGCAGACCAACTGTTGAACTTAGTATGACTCTACAAATGCTGTATTCCCCACTTCTCATAACAACGCAACACCTACCATTTACAGAAGACTTACTGCATTCTAGATACCACATTCTAGATACTTTACAGGTTTCACGATATGAAGAAAACCATACCAAGGGAACGCTGGCTGGGTCTGCAGGGCCCGTGTGGGACTGGTCCCATATCAGTCAAAGCTCATCTCCATGAGTAAAGAAAAGGGATGTGCTTGTCCCAGAAATGACAAAGGGAAGGGGAGACTGGACCCAGGCTGAGCAATGCTCAGAGAATGGGTCCCCGATAGGCAGAGAGACCAGGGAGTAACTTGGCAGAGGAATTGCCTAATGGGGACATATTAAGATATTTTACAGGGTGTAATGTGATATAAACCCTCTCTTCCTTCTTTCTACAAGACCTTCAGAAATATACCCATTGCATGCTAATCGATTTTTGTTTTGGAGATGCAAGGACATACTGAGCAAAACCAAAAATTCCCTTAAAGGACAGCCACTATGGTATTACTAATATCCATAACTATGGATGAAGAAACTGAAACACAGAGAGGGTAAGTAATTTTCCAAAGGTCACAGAGCTTGCAAGTAGCAAAGCTGAGATTCAAGAGTAGGTGTTTCTGTCTACCAACTCTAAGACTAGTCATCTCGACTATTGTGCTATTATTGCATCTCAAATTCTCAGTGCTTCAACATAATTTTGACTGATGGTATATGGTAAATGTGTTAACTTCACTTAACTGTCACTATACTTTAAAAGCTTTTCATATTATTTTACCACAATATTTAAATAACCAGTTAAAATATGAAAGAAATATCTGTAGTAATACTGTGAAAAATGAAAACTTGTTATTTAATCAAATATGACAAGCCTGGCTGGGTGTGGCTCAGCAGCTCAGCATCGACCTATGATCCAGGAGATGGAGGTTCAATTCCCTGTCAGGGCACATGCCAGGGTTGAGGGCTCGATCCCTAGTAGGGGGCATGCAGGAGGTAGCCGATCAATGACTCTCTCATCATTGATGTTTCAATCTCTCTCTCTCCCTCTCCCATCCTCTCTCTGAAATCAAGATATTAATTAAATAAAGATATATTTTAAGAAATATATATGACAAGGTTGCTAGAAACGCTTGATAGGATATAACAAGGGTTCAATGATTGCTTCCCCCAGTATTTTGAAATACTTTGCATTTGACACTTTATTTCCTTTGTTTCCATTTAGCTACAACATATTGGGATAGAGACAGTTGTTTCAAATATTCACTATCTAAACCTATGAAGGACCCTGGGTTGGTCAGCCCTGTGTGCATGCCTGAGCAAGTTTTCTAGCAGATTTCATTTGATGTCATTTTTAAGGGTCTGAGAATTTGGGGGTGGGGTGGGCCTGGAGACCACATGAAAGGGCTGCCCTGATGCCACACAAGGCCCCTTTGAGAGCCCCCTGCCTCACCCAACACCAGGGGAACATCTAAGGAAGGTGCCTAGGAGAGGCCAAGAGAACTTAAACAACTTGCTCAGAGTCCTGCCCCCCAAGTGGAAAACAGGTCCCAAACCAGTGTTGCTCGGGAGCCACTGATCTGCTTATTCTAAGGGCCCGCCTGTGAGAACGTCACGGGCTCCACGTCAGACAGTCCAGCTCTCATGATGCTCCTGCCACTTACTAGTTTGGTGATCTTGGGAAATTTACTCAACCTTGGCCTGCCTCAGTTTCCCTACCTGAACAATCAGGATAGCAATAGTCCTTTCACAGGGTTTGCCATGAGGAGTTAATGCAATGGCGAGCTGAGCTCAGGGACAGCAACAGAGTAAGCATCTATAAATGACTATCATTTTCTTTTTGCCAATAGTTTGAACATGGATATATTGCTAAGCTAACTGTAAACTGTATATTACCCTCATGTCATGCGCTGGGTTCGGTTATTTCCAATGAGAAGTTTCATTGTTCCCATCAAGCCAAGCATTCCTTGGGTGTTTTATAGGTGCACTCCAAGGCTAGGTGGGACATTTCCCCCTCGCCCTTCCCCCAGTCACTACTACAGATTCGATTCTTACTTTCAAAGCAGGCAGCCGGCTGCAGAGCACCTCCCGAGGAGAGCTCTCCTGTGCCTGTGTTTTCATCTAGTCCAAGTGCAGTGAGAAAAGTCCTCTCCAAGACTCCTGACTCCCCGCAACTCTGCCTGCTGCTCCCGGGGACGTGGGATTACCCCTGGGGTGGAGGGAGCTTGTGTGGCCCCATACAAGCAACGTGCCTGTTTCAGGACAACTTCATTTTCCTGATTGTGTGTCACAGTTTTCGGAAAAATTCCGCTCAAGGTGAGATTTGCTAATTCATCCAGTCGACAATGTTTTATTGAGTCCCTGCCTCATGCCAGGACAGGCATTGCAGTAGTGAACAAGGGACAGAGCTCCTCTCCTGACGGTGCCCACGTCAGCTCGGGGGGATGTGGGGGGCACCGAGAGGCCATCAGGGCCGGTCTGGGTGGGGGTAAGGCATACAGAATGCGTGCGATCGGGAACTTGGCCCCGATTTCAGGGCCGGGAAGGAGGGCGGATAGGGCCGAGGACCTCAGTGCTGCTTGAAGGACTTGCAGGTTTTAGCCAGAGGAAAAGCAATGCGAGTGAAGGGGGCTGAACTCCCCGCAGAGGGAAGGACCTGCGCACGAGTAACGCAAAGGCCACCGCAGAGTGTGCCGCGTTTTAGGAACCGCGCGGGCTTCAGTAAGCAATTAACTGACATCACATGCAATGAATCTACTTGTGCTTCTCCTTTATTGATGCACAAATCAAAATTTTCTTAATGTGAATTTATATAATAGTGAACCACCGCAGCATCAGCAGAGGGGCCACACTGGGGATAAGAGGTAGCAGAGTTTTGCTTGTTATCTGGATAAAAGATTAGCAGAAACCTAAGAGTTAATTTTAAAATATATTGCTGCCACAAGTTTAGAAATGCTTGCTAAATTGGAAGGTGTATTTTGCTTGCATGGTTCTATCAAAGGTTTAAGTATAAGAAGGGAAAGAGAAGAGGTCACGCTATATTTACCTTGAATTCTGTTTTTTGAAAGTTGGAGGAATATGAACTTGGCTTGTGGAAAATATATAGATTTCTGAAAAATATTATTTATTACAGGTTATTGTCATTATACGCAACAGGCTATTACTACATGTTAAATTTCTTAGACCCAATTATAGGCAGAACAAGGTAAAGACAGATGAAAGTTAAAAAACAATAACACAGAGACAAGAAAAGTGGTTGTCGGGGGCTGGGAGGTGGGGGAAATAGAGAGGTTGATAAAATGGTACAAGCTTTCAGTTCTAAGATAAATAAGGTTTGAAGATCTAATATATAACATGGGGACTATAGTGGATAACACTGAATTGCATAATTGAAATTTGCTAAGAGAGTAGAACTTAAATGTTTTCATAAAAAAAATAATATGTGAGGTGATGGGTATGTTAATTAACTCAATGTATTCCTAAGTCAATTCAAAACCATGTACGATTTAAATATCTTAAAATTTGTCAATTATACCTTAATAAATCTAGGGAAAAATAATAACCGTATTGAATTAGTTGTCTGAAGAAGACAAAAATGATCTTAGTGAAAAAAGTTTTTACTTTAATTAACAAATAAGTCTTTGGGGATACGCTAAACCTGGCCTAAAAATTGGCTTGGCTCTTACTGTTCTATGTGGACAGTCAGCTCAGCCATTTTTCCTTCTAACGGTTTTGTTTGATATTATATCTACACCAGACTAATAATGGCTTAACTCTTTTAACTAATAGCTGAAAATTAATAGTTTATATATCTGTTAAATTAAATGCACACAAAATGTACTTACTGAAAGCATACACAGAAGTCATCGAAGTCTAACCATATTTCTTTGGAAACACTCGTATTCATTGCTGTAACTTCCTCCTGAGACTTGTCCTGTGCTGCTGTCTGGCTCACTGGGTCTTTTTCCAAATTCAACCCGTCAGCTGGAGGGGCTGAGTCATTCAATCCAAGGTCTGTTAGCTCATCTGTGTAGGGCAGAAGACAACCATGTCAAACACACCTGTGCTGTCAAGTATTAAGTTATTAAGACATGGAGCATAATAGAGGGAGGTTCACATAGCAAAGTCTACTTTTGAGAAAACATTTCCTGAGATAAGCATTTACACGCAGGCCTCAAGTTTGTGGAGGTCTATACAAACACACATTTTCACACACTCAAAAGATTTATTCATAACATAACATACAGTAGAGTCTTCAGAAATTTCTAATTCACTTTCATAAATTTGTGCACACATTCTTTAGAGATTATAAAGTTGTAACAGAAATTGGTACTTAAAACCTGATATAAACAGACATATTCATATAAGAGGGGATGGCTCAGCCAACAGAAGGAGAAATGAAAACCTGAAAGATCTGTTACAATTCATGTATTTCAGTGAGTGACTTAATTGCTCCCCACAGTTGGTGATTCCATGATCTTATTTCATGCTCACCAAGTAATCCCATAAAATTCCTGTAGACTTCTAGAACCGAAATTTGCTACCTAACACTGTTTGGGATTTGAGGTTTGGCCAAGTCTCCTTTATTAGGGAACTAGAAATGTGCAATAGATTTAGTGCTTTGACCCCAACATGTGTGCATCAAAGCACACGATCTTTACTCATGGGACTAATCGGATCGTCTTTTATTTTGACCTTAAGCTTGAATTAAACAAGTGAGATTATCTGATTTTTCTAGCCCAGAGCAGATTAGATTCATTACATCAGAGAGAGGCCAGGAGAGCCAGGAGGAGAGCTCAAAGCTGTCGAGATGCAAAAGTCACAAGAAGGTTATTAATTTACCTTTTCCATGTACAGCTTGTGAAGTAATATTGCCCTGTGGATTGAAAAAGCACATTAAAAAACCATTTATAAATTTAACAAAACATGACTGCTCTGAAGCACCACTGTTTTTAAAAGAGTTAATACAATTTTTTAATCATTGAAGAAATGGATTTCTGAAAATATTTACTAAAGCAAACAGGTAAACAGAGAATTTGCTTTTAACGTAAAATTCAAAAGAGGTGAATTTAATTAAATAACTTATTGAGGGTTTAAGTTTGACATTAAAATACAGAATATCTGAGTGTTATTAAATGATTTACTCTTATAATAAAAGTTAAGTTAAAACAGGAGTATCCCTATGTAGATATATAACTTAGTACGAGGCATCTGCTATTAATACAGATTGAATGTAATGAGGTTATGGTTGGTAATCAGTGGACAGAACCTAGAAAGACTGGTTTCAAATTATAAAGATGATTTCTCAAAATTTTAACAGAGAAATTAAGTCAAATTCACATTTACAACTCTGTTTTCTCTAGAACACAATTAAAATAAGTACAAAAGTTTAAATGGTATAAATGTTTTACATACTGAGGGTGGGTAATGTTGACAATATTTGGGTGATGTAAAGTGGGTGGAGGTGATGATGTAGTAAAGATAGCTGAACAGCAAGTGCTAGGGAGGAGCCCATCCAAGCCTCGGGCCCCAGAAACAATGGGCAGGTGCCTGGGGAACAGGAGGGAGATATGGGCTGAAAACCCAGGGAGGGGTTGACCTTGTGTATAAAGAGCAGAGAAATCCCCACTTCTCTCTAAGCCACTTAGCATCTGTCATTCTTCTGCCTGAAGAGGGCACTGGAAGTTGCTACGAGTGAAGAAATTACATGCGAAGCCTTCAGATCTGGGCTCCCAGGTACCGCGGGAAGCAGGAGAGTCTGCAGCAGAGCGAGGGGAAGGGCTAACTGAAGGTCCACATGCTGAACTTTGCCTGGCTTCAGTAACAGGGACAGTATGCCAGTCCCCGTGACCCCATCCCGCCCCCGAGGGAGATCGGAGGACTCCCAGCGGGCCAGGGCCCAGGGAAAGCCTCAGGGAATCCGACATTGGAGCTAATCCCACCCCCAAAGGAAGCTCATTCATCCTCAATTATCCTGAATTAAAGCTACCAGTTGACAAGATCTATCTTTTTTCTTCTTCAGTGTTTGAGAAGGTCTACTGATGTGTCATAGAAAAGTAAGCAAAAAAAAAAAATGCAGCAATTAGCTTGTACAAAAAGCTGTATCAGAAATGTCATCACATTGGCCTCAGCGATAATAATCCTTACATACCTAAAATACTGATTCAGCCACCAAACAGTGAACTCGTGTGTTCTCCCGGTGCTAACCCAGACGGCTATATTGCCTTCCCCTGTTCCCTATCAAAACTATTCAACTAAAACACAGAGAGAGACTATTTGTTTTCACTGCATGGTCAAGTTTTAGGAAACTGACAAAGGGAGTCGTGGCACATGAACGTTTGCCAACCCTGGAACTGAAAACTCTTGCACGTGTGTACAGGGACATTCAGTGGTAGTCCTGGTACCACTGCTTGCCCAGTAATAACCAACCAGCAATGACTATTGCCTTACCCCTGAGAAAGTTATGCATTACACACGTCACCAATGAAACGCATGAACTCCGGCCGTGCGGCACGAGATGAGCCTCGTAAATGAGGTCCAGTGAAGAAAGGTCCAGGAGAATTAATGCAAGAGCCCATTTAAACAAAATTATATAAAATTAAACCAAGCAACATATTGTTTATAAAGGTGTATATAATCGGCGAAGGTAGAAGTGTATGGGGGTCATGAATACCACACTCCGAATGGCAGAAAAGAAACCACCCAGAAGGGAGGCAACGGGGGACTTCTTGTGAGAGATGAGTGTTCAGTGTGCTAATTCAGGCGCGGATGCATGAGAAGCTCATCGTAACAGTGTTCTCATTCTGTTCAGGTGCGTGTTATACACCTTTTTATGTAGAATATATTCTACAGTCGAAGAAAAATCTATTATCATTAAGAACTGGTCAATAGTGAAGAGTAACAGAGTCACCTGAGACGTCGTTCCTGTCACCTGACCCAAGTCCGGCTGGGCAGAGGTTGCAGCTTCATCGTTTTCCGTCAGGGGAGATAAACCAGATACTGGAGGCATCCCTTTCTTAATAAAAGATTGTACAAAGTGACTAATGGAAAGCAAAAACAGGCTTCCGTTACCGTGATCTCTTCTTTAAAGTACGGATAAGTAACTGCAGTTTTCATTGCAATGTAAATGGCATATAACATTATATTAGTTTCAATTGTACAACAAATAATTTGATACTTGTATATATTGTAAAAGGGTCACAAGGGCTGTANAATAATTTGATACTTGTATATATTGTAAAAGGGTCACCACAAGTTTAGTTAACAGCCATAGCCACACAGTTACAATTTTTTTCTTGTGACCTATTCTCTTAGTAACTTTTATACATACATACAGCATTATTAACTATATTTACCATGCTATACATTGTCTCTCCAGTACTTATTAATTTTATAATTGAAATTTTGTACCTTTTGACCCACTTCACCCATTTTGTCCACCCACCAATCTAACCAACATGTTCTCTGTATCTATGAATCTGGCTTTTGGTTTTTTCTTTTCTGTTTTATTTTTTTGGGGGGGGGTTAGACTTCACATATAGTGAGGTCATACAGTATTTGTCTTTCTTTGTCTGACTTATTTCACTCAGTATAAGGCCCTCAAGGCCACCCATGTTGTTGCAAGTGGCAAGACTTTCTTTTTTATTATTGCTGAATAATACTTCATTGTATATTAAACAACTGCAGTTTATCAACAACTGAATGCTTTTATTTTGTTCATGTCATCATTTTCATTCTTACAACCAATCATATTTCTTCCCTGTCAACATTAAACTTCTTTCCATACAACCAAAGAAATATTCTCTATCAGTCGATGCATCTGTCTAAGAATTTTCTGAAGCGTTCTTTATTTTAAAGCAATTACTGTCAATTTTGAATGTTGATGACCAGAACCTAGGAATTTGACAACATTTAGAACTGATTTACCTAAGTATCCGAGTAATGTGTGAGTGAAATGGAGCTCAGAGTCAGATTTAATTATGAGTCTTGAGCATTTAAGTTTATAGCTGAGACATTCATAGTAACTACCCAAGTTTGCACTATTTTCTTTCAAGTAATTGCTAATATGACCCCAAATCACCAATGTGTGTGTGTGTATACATATATATGTGTGTGTGTGTGTATATATACACATACACATACACATACACATACACATATACATATACATATACATATATAAACTTAGGTAAATGCATTTAAAGACAAAATTAAATTTCATGCACATAGATTTCCTAAATTTTTTAATTTTTTTCCTTGCTAGTGTTCAGTAAAACTTACTTCACCTCAAGTTCAACTCTCTGCTTTGCCTGAAGCTGCCACGAGAGGGCAGCACAAACACATTTATAAGGCTTCCATTCTGTCAAAACTGCTAGGAGCCCAGAATGTGCGAATGCGGCCTGTTCCAATGAAAGGCGGTCGTGGGAGCGGTCACTTTCAAGGACTTTCAGGGGAAAAAACACACCTGCTTTTATGTTGACCTGATAACTATGACCCTACAGCAAAGGGAGAGAAGGGATATTTCTTTCACGTAGGATAAAATGCCGTTCACGTCCCTTTGGGTTTGGCTCTGACAGATAAAACAAATAAGCTAACAGATCCGTAACAGTTTCAAGGAGAGAACAGGCTGGTTGAATTCCATCAAGTGTTAGTCGCCTGGACCTGGGTTATAGAAGTTAATCCACCTTAATCAAGTAACAAAGCTGGAAGGAGGCATATGACAATCAAGTAAGAGAGTGAATTGGGGAGTTCGGGTTATAAAACTAACCCATTTGTGGTCTCTATTGACATAGAGAGTGTAGAAGTTTGGGTGGAATTTTGAACCATGACAAAATCTGCCCCTGGTGGTTTTCAGCCTCGGTTCTTACAATCTACAAAATATCTGACTAAGAGGCACCCTCAATCAGTGGAGAGAAAATAAACAATTATCTGAAATGGTAAAATCATCACCTGAGTGGGTAACATTAATCATATAATTAATTATAAAAATTTAAAATCATTCATATTTTAATGTTTAGGGAAGTTCTGTGTATATATGTGGTACTTTACATTTGTAACATATGAAAGAATTTGGCATGTTACATAATCCAACAAATAAAGCTTTAAAATGTATAGTTCAATGTTTAATTTCAGCTTTATGATTAAGTCAAAACATAAGAAAAAACTAAAATAATAATAACATCATAATAAAACATTCCAATTATAGAAAGAACACTAATTCATTCCTTTTTTAACAATTAAAAGAACTTTATATAATGATGAAAGTGTTATTTTAGAACATTTGATTACTGAGAATTTATAAAATGTGGCTGGTTCAGCTAAAGAATTTATTCTTAACATTTTATTAATATCAGTTATCTTAAATTAAACTTACATAGCCACATTTGCCTAGTGGCTACTATATTGGATAGAACATAGTAAAAAAATTCTGAATAACTTAGATACCTCAAAATATTTTTAATTTAATTAGTATTTACTGAGCACTTGTTACATCCTAGGTACTATTTAAATATCAGTGTTGCAGTGTAAATGCACAACCTAAATGGAACCCTTAAGGTCTACATTCTAATTACGTACAAGCCATTAACTAATTTTTAAAATTTGGTGATGTTTCCCATTGCACCCAAATACTTAGGGGAAAATTTGGAGGAGGCAAAGTTACTAGAAGCAGACAATATTGAGCATTGATAAAGAAATAATTGGAACTGTGAAAGCAAAACTAAAACTACAACTAAACCAAACAAGCACATTCCAGAAAAGGCCAGTAGTCTGGGGCCATCGAGTGTTAGGATAAGTATAGTGTCTTGAAGTCTCTCTGACGTAAGCAAACAGCAGAGCTGTTAATAATGTTCAGTCTGAGTCATCTAGGAGATGAGGGAACCTTCCAGGGTACTCTACTGAGGGTGAAGCTACTTTGTTTAATGTATTCATAACATACCCAGGTACTCGACACAACACAACTTCTTACCCAAGCGATGACAACAGCGATGACGGCATTTATGTCATTTATATTACATGGCAGCATCAGTCGGGACCGCTTCTGTCCCAAATGGCAGAAAGTCTAATTTACTGTAGAATTAATAGCAAAAGAAGCCACACTGGCTTTTGTAACTGCAAAGTCTAACAGGAATGGAAAGCAACTTACACAATCAATATTCTCTTTCCTGTCCAGAAACCTACTAGGTGTGTAATTGGGAAATACTTGAAGATTGGACATGTAGGAAGACAATGAAAAACAGTCATGTTATTTTAACAGCTTCACAGGCCCTCCGTTTAGGGGGAGAACTGTATTCATTTAGGAAACACCCTGCCAGGGCGTGCTACTTGCTGGGTCAGGGAGGAAGGGCGGGCAAGGCGAGAGCAGCCGGGAGAGGGGCTGCCCCGGGCCAGGCTGCCCTGAGTGGGGGCCCGAGAGGCGCAGGGAGCGGCCCCAAGAGAAGCGGCGAGAGGCCTGGAGACTGCAGAACGGCGGCCCGTGGCAGTCCCCAGGGCAGAGAGGCCGCATGACTTAAAAGCAGGGGAGCCGACAGCCGGGCAGGCGAAGTGCAAAGAGGGCGGGAGAGCAGGGAGTCGCAGGCAGAGATCCACGCTGGGCTCAAGGCGCTGGGCTGGGTACAGACGCACTGTCCTCCGGGCACCCCTCCCTCCTGCCACCCCCGGGGCCTCGGGAGAAATGAAATCAAAGCAAAATCAGAACTGGCAAAATGGAGGTGCCATAATTAGAACAGCAACACATCCCTTAGAGACAGGTAAGAACAGATTGATGGCAAAACCCAGCAATGCAGAGAGTCTCAAGTCCCATTAGGACAGAAAAGAGGGCACCCCAAGTCTGAGAGGGGCCCTGGAGCCGTCCCATGCATCTTGGATCAGAGGCAGAGCGGCGGGAGTGGTGGAGGGCAGAGAGCTGCAACCCGCTGGAGCTTGGGGCCTCGGTAAAGCCCCCGTGGCTCTGAAGCGCAGCTTTAAGTGAGATTATCCGGGGGTGGAGGGAGGAGCCGGGCAGGGCCTCACGCGCTTCCAGCAGGGGCATGGGAAGCCACCGCACTGCAGCGAGAGCCACCTGCATGGCGAGGCGACCGCAAGCTCTTCCACCTCCTGTACAGTCACTGACCTCGGGATGCCTCTCTTCGGGGTTCTAATTATTTCTGAAAAATAGGTTCTTTGAGGCACCACCATAGATAGGATTTGGGACATACCTTTGCTATGCCAATTACTACATTTCACTGTAATGATTTACTCATACGTCCAGCTTCCTCAGGAGCTGACGTCTCTGGGGCAAGACAAGTGTGTTATCTTTCTATCTCCAAGGGAAATCTAGTGCCTTGTATTAGCTTCCTAGGGTTGCTGGGTTGCTTAGACAATACAATTTCTTTTCTCACAGTTCTGGGGGTTGTCAGTCTGGGATCAGAGCCCCGGCACAGTCAGTTTCTAGTGAGGACACTCCCAGACTGCAGGCGGCAACCTTCCCACCGTGTCCTCACATGACCTTTCCTCAGGGGGGGAGAGGAGGGGGGAGGGAGGAAAGAGAAGAGAGAAGTGAGACAGAGACAGAGAGACAGACAGAGAGAGACAGGGAGAACAGAGCTCTGTCTCCTTAAGAGGGCACTAATCTTATGATCTCGTTTAACCATACTTACTTCCTTAGAGGCCCTATCTCCAAAAACAGCCACACTGGGCTCAGTGCTTCAACAAATGAATTGTAGCAGGACATAAGCGTTCAGCCCATAACAAACGCTCATACATAAAAGCTGAACAAAACACGTCTGCTAATTAACTGGATTAATGAAACCACAAGCTATACAAGATCCAGGTAATATCCTTTAATAGATTTTATACATATATTTCAGCTTCATATTAAATTAATATTGTTTAAAATAGTCCCATTTAGTATTATTTTTAACCACACAAACCACATAATACTTTTTTTGAGAGCAAGATGGATTTGTGGGAAATAATATAACAGACGTACTTACGTTTCTGTTGGGATTGTAAATGGAGTCATTCTATAATTCAGAAACGGACTTGATATCTCAAGAAACTGGTCAGGCTTCTTTATTATTATTTCTAAGAAGAAACAGGCAGTGTGATGTACTTTTTCCCCATCTTCTAAGATCATATACCATACTAATTAGATTACTATTTACCCAGAAAATTTTAATAGAGTTCAATAGGAATGCCCTAGGACACATAAGGTATTATTTTTAATTGAAAAAGCTTATTGATCATGCCAATGCGAGATTCCTTTAGCTTACTCCTCAGATCTGCAGCATGAAACTATGGCATCTCAATGGAGAACCTTAGCAATGTCTTTTGGAGTTATTGGTTGGCATCTGTGATTCCAAGTATAGGAGTGACTTTCTATAAAAGCCTTTTACTAAAAGGTGTTCCCTTAGTTAATCCCTGTGCAATGGCTCGGGACATGAAGAGGAAACCTGGGCTAATACAGGCAGTAGTAGTGGAAGAACAGAAATCTAACAAAGTTAGGGCCACGAGCAGCAAAGCCAGCAGCAGATCGAGGAGGAGCATGTGGGTATCCCCAGGAGTCAGAAGCTCACCTAGGAGGAGTTCCCAGTGCATATGGGGCACAGACTGTGCACTACCCCGGTGAACCCTGAAATCAAGCTCCTGCGCTGGTGAAAAGGTGCCTCCTGGAGAGAAACAGGCTTTGACACCTGCACAGGGCGTTTCTGTGTGTGCTCTGGGGTAACCTCTGAAAGGACCTCTCTCTCCATTTTCTGTTAATTGTCACTCTAGATATTAAACGGAATAAGGAGAAGAAAGACAATACTGTGGTGAGCCCCGAGATGGGACACTGCAACTACGGAATCCCACCATTCCTTAGATTTTCTTGCCCAGTTTACAAAAGCAGTCGCTCACATAGAAATTACACGACAATCAGTAGTGAAATCAGAAAATATGTGTATGTTTAATATTTTCCCTTTCATTCAGCAGTTCCTTGACCTGAATGAACAATGGTTTTAAGTATGTCTCCTTGCATTTAACTAAAATATCATATATAAAAGTAAAATTTTTTTTTTTCCTTTCAAGTGCCTTGAGGAACTTTTTGGCACCAATAGCCCATTGCAGAAACACAAGGGTTGTAAAGAGATGACTAAAATAGTCAAGCAGGAGGGAGAGAGGCAGATAGGCCTAAATAAAGGACAGACTGACCATTTCTTCTCTCCACCCAAACCAGATATTTCTTTATTCTTTGTTGGCAAGAATAAACCATTTTGTGCTAGAGAAGTCTTTGCTACCAGCTGTACTGGGTGCGTGAATGTAGGCAGAAAGCAAAAGTGAAGAAAATTACATGGTTAGCTGTTATTTATATTTTTAAAATGTGGAAATTATGGATGGAAGTAGGAGGTAAGGAATAGGTATGTATTCCAATTTGTGTGGCTCTTGCAGCTTTAGGATCCCGAGTGCCACTGGGATGTGTGTATTACACTGTGACCGAGACGTGGCTCCGCTGTCACCTGCAATGAAGGATTAGCGATGCTTGAACTGGTAGCAGGAGCCACACCAAGCATCACCACCAGCAGGGATATAAGCCGTGGTTCACGCGGCCAAATACTTGAAGCATATTTATAAGCTTTGCTGGGATTCTTTCTGTAAACTGGCTCTTGGTGTGTTCACTGTGGCTTTGCCTTCCTGTTCATCCAGGTGACAGAGCTGTGAGCACAGCCCCTAACGCAGTCACCTCTGGGGCCTCATGTACTGTGGATGGGTGAAGACGCTTAGATAGTAATGAGGTACCAGGAAAGACAAAGGTAGGCATCAAAACGCAAAAAAACGAACACCAAAAAATGACAAAAAGCTGTCATTATTAAACATAATTTAAGTTTTCTGTGAAATATACATATATATCATAGCACTCTAGTTTCCTATCATCCTTAATAAAAAGCTACACGTGCTACAGTAGCTATGGAAAGGCTCTGTATGTTGAAACATAAAGTATGAGTTATTCGGCCAGGTCATAATTTTTAAATGATTAGTGTTTTCTTGTTTTAATTCCATCTCCGTATGTTTGTGCTCCTACTTTAAAATTGCTTTCTCATTCATGGCCTCATGCATTTCTTCTCTTGCCGTCTTGGTCTTCTCTCTTCCGCTCAAAGTTGGTGCCCATGGAAAGGCGTAGGAATGAAGACTTATAAAGAAAAATATTGAAGGACTGAAGAATTCGACATGGATGGTGAGGAATTTGGCAATGAGCTGAAAGAATAGTAACAGGGCAGGAACAGTTCCCTTGCCTCACTCTCAGCCAGCGTGAATCTGTTTATTTCTGGGGGTAAATACCACTCATTAAGTGGCTATAGGACCATATTAACACAGGCAGTGAGCCAGGAGAGAAGTTCAAGTCTATAGAAATTCTAAATAGAAACCAGTTAGGTCAAAGGTTATGTCCTACAGGGTACCCCAGAGTGATTTCCATAGTAGAAGTTCACTCCAGTGGCTTAACCTCTGCTACTTAAGTTTCTGTATTATTTACTACAAACCACTTTCCTACCACCATAAGAATCATATGCCATCACCCAAAGATTGGCTTTGATATATCTGGTCAGTTTAGACATGAACCAAACTGCTAGTCTTCTGTGGAGAATTGATCCTTTAAAGATATAAAATTTGGACATAATTTTAATCAAAAGTATATTTATTTTCTTTTTACATTCAATATTATTTTGCATTAGTTTCAGGTATGCCTCATAGTGGTTAGACAATCATATGCAAAGCAGACATAAAATTGAATGCAGACTTTGGGTATAAAGTTGGGTGGTCTGCCTTGATATGCATCTTTGATTACAAATGAAACTATGAGGCCTCCACACAGAGCAATGTTGATTAGAAGGACTTTCAGACAACGTAAACCATACCTTGAGGTTCATCTGTTATAACAGTTTTCTTTTTTTGACGAAAGAGTTTCCAGGGGGGCACCGGGGGTGGTTTCGGGGGTGCTATAAGAGGGCACGACCTCGTCCTGGTCACCAGCACAGGATGGCTGCAGATGTGGGACAGGCCATATTCTCTGAGCTTCTCAGCAGAAGTGGCCTAACAGGCAGAAGGCAGATTTGAAAGGATGCTTGCCATTGGCTCATGCATTCAAAATAAGGCCTTTTGTCAGGATAAAAACACCATCACCACTATAGAGGTGTAGCGATAATAAATGAAAAAAACAGCCACCCATATTTCCACCTCTCTTAACATAAGCACTATTACCGTTTGTATTTTTTAACATCTTTTCATCTTTCTGGGGCCCCATTTCCTTATTTCCAAAATGAGACTCTAGAACTATAAGCTACTTTTGGGTTCTAAAAATTGATTCTATGAGATTGCAAAAATCTTAGCACATTAGTTTTGGTCCAAAGTAATCAATCATTTCATTCAGGTACTTAATAGGTAAAGTGTGTGTGTGTGTGTGTGTGTGTGTCCAGCAATTGCTACATAGTGTTCATAAAATCTATTGCACTGAGTGTGATCAAGTGGTTGCCTTGTCCACAGTTTATGCCCTCGCCTGCAAACAGCAGCTTCCCACAGGAAATCCCCGTGGTCCCTTCTGACAATGGAGCCATTCACAGAAGGACAGAGGATAGAGGCTGCCCTGTCTCCTGCCAAAGCAAGTAGTTTCCCACGCAGATGCTTCCCATATTCCACCGCTGAGATCTCCCAAAGCCCCTCTGCTTTGGAGCAATTCAGAATAATACTGAAGCAGAACTCCAGTTAGTGACTGATGGCTGAAATATGCCCTGAGAAATCAAGAAGTCTGTGAAAGTTACAGGAATCTACACTGCAGTCACATTCTGATGCTCACAGTCTAAATGTTGAAACGGTTAAAGAGAAATAACCCATCCCACCTCAAACATCCCAAAAGTGGGGGCTTGAGCAGGTGGGAGAGGCTTTTACAGAACTCTCAGGTCACCCGTTTAAAAAAATTCAACCCATTTAGAACACCCAAGAGCATGAAGAGGGGGGAAATGTGGAGTAATTCACGACACTGTTTTCCTTCCCAAGTTCTGTTGTTTCTCCTGTATTTTGGACCAATTCTTTAAATAAATGGTAAGGTACTATATTTTACATGTCGGCCTCATTATCTTTGGGGCTATAATTTTTATCAAAGTACTCCATTTAACAAAATTCCATTCCAACAGGTTTTTCCCCCTGTAGATTTATCTTTAAAACATTATATCTCCATTATATTCTGACTTTTACCAGGAGAACTAGATCACCCTAATGGGTAATGTAAAACAAACAAGTTAGGAAGATGGGGACAGTACTGTCAGTTCACTGCAGCCTCGAGGTTTATTTAGTTACTGCTACAGACCCTGGACTAACTCCTGAGCCGTTTTCAACGCCCTCAGAGAAACGGTAACACTCTTTATGTCCTGACTCCCTTCCACTTCTCAAGCTGCCTCTGACTTCTTCCCTTGCAATCTAGTCAACCTCCAGTAGTTCCCTGAACCCAGCGGGTTCTCCCTCCCTCACCGTCAGCAGCTAACGTTTTGTGTGTGCGCTATTTTAAGCTAGGAGGTGGTAACAGCAGTGCTTTACCAGCTCTGACTATGAGTTCATTCAAGCTATATGTTAAGAAATATGTACAACCTTCTTATGCAAAGATGATTTATAATTATTTATAAATGATTTACATGATTCTTACTAAAATATATAATACATATGCTTTTTAGTTTGCTTATATTGGGGTGAATTGATAAAGATATCTGACTGCTTTTTTTAAAGATAGAACGATTGCAATTGATTGAGATAATTCTGGATGTGCCAAGTCCCTGTGTTCAAGTGCCTAATATTACAGATAAGGGTGCTGAAATTCAGTAATAGAATTTTAATTAAATTCTGGGGTACCTTCTGTCACAAGATGTAATCACACACACACAAACCATAAATGATACCGTGTCCCCTGGATGTGAGTACTTACCATCGTCTCTAGTGAAAAGATCTTCTTTTCAAACAAATAGAGAGGTGTAAAGGTGGCATACACAACCATGTGGGGCGACTGTGCTGATGAAGAAGCTGCAAAAACAAACACATATTGTGCCATGAAAATTCTAGCCAAAATGGGTCTTTCAGCAGGTCATTCCAAAATCCCTTAATTTTTCTGGTGAAAAATAGGTACATGATTCTAAATGTATGTAATAAATGTTAAATCTCAAATGCGCATTCGTTTTATAGAATATCTCATTAGTTTTACCTTCATAATAGTACCATTTAATTGATTTAAAAATCATTTCATTTCACTGTAAAAATGTTATCACATAAACTTACTAGTCATCAGTCAATGTAACTTAGAATCGTCTACAAATAATTATGTTCAAAAGAACGACTTTAACATTGTGACATTTCTTAGCTTTCATAGATGAAAAGCTTTATTTTGAATTTTAAAAAGTCTCAGAGTTTTTATGTCATTTAAAAAATAAGGAAAACATAAGTAAATGAATCCTTCCATGAAGAAGAAAAACAGAAGTAGCTTAAGTTTGGAAAGTTTAATGCTTGTAAACTTTGCTTTGAGCATTACTTATTTATTGACAAGTTCCCTAACATCCCTGGTATTTCTGTATTTGATTGGGTGTCCCTTTGTCCTGTAAAGATTCTGGCCAAAATAAGAGAATTTCTTTTCCTTTATTGTCTTTATTTTTAATTAAAAGTTTTGTTTTATATCTTTACAAATTCAAGAATTTATATGTAACTGTATTAGATATGTTTATTGAGAATAGTATCTTTGGAGACACAAAATATAAATTAGACATGAACCAGAATCTCTCTAGAATGGATTAATTGTAAAATATATCAAAGTTGTAAAAACATATTTTTGCATGAAAAAATTAAACTTTGTATGATTTTCATGGAGCAGAGGTATGAAGCCAGGCAGTTTTACCCACAGCCCACATTCTAAACCATATTCTGTATCTTGAGATTAACTCTATTAATTTGATAGGGGGGGAAAAAAGCATTGTTACTTTTGTTTTCCCAAAGAAAAAAAACTCAGAGAAAGATTTAGTCATTTTAACAGTCATGATGAATTATTGGTAACTTTGGGAATGTTATGTCATCCCCTATCAAAAAAGATTGCTTAAGGCATCAATATAATATGACAGTTTTTAATACATAGTGCTGGAGGAAAATGGATGTGTTTCCACCACGTAATGAATGGTAAGCTGAGAATTATAACCTACATTCTGGAAGCACTGAGATAGATGACCCAGTAGCAGGAATATAAAGTCTTAAAAAAGAGAATGTGTATAATACGCCCTGGCCAGCGTGGCTCAATTAGTAGAGCATCACCCCATGCACGGAGAGGTCCCTGGTTCAACTCCCCGTCAGGGCACATGCGGGGGCTGTGGGCTCCATCCCCAGTAGGGGGTGTGCAAGAGACAACCGATCAATGTTTTTCTCTCCCTCACCCTTCCTTTCTCTCTATAATCAATAAAAACATATTTTTTTTTTTAAAAAAGGTAATCTGTATAATATATATTAGATAGTCTTTAAAAAGATTATATATGTAATATATAATTTATACAGAGGACATAGGCTAACAGATAGCACCTATGCTAATATTTATATTTATACATTTTATATAATTGTATAATTAATATATGTATATAATTTAGAATATATAACGTGACATGTTTTATTTGTGTAGAGTAATATAGATTTTATAATGCGCCAATATATCATACACACGTTAGCATAGGTCCCCCTTCAGACAACCGCTTCCCCTGCGAGTGCTGTGCCCCGAGAGCCTGGACCCCTTCGCTGTTGCCTCATGGGGAGCCCCGCCCCACATCCGCACCCCTCTTTGGGCCTGACCACAGGCGACCTGCAGACGCCTATTCAGATACGTCTAAACAGTCGATAGGCTCCATGCTCCCAGGACTTCCAGCATCTGGGGACTGCGGGGCCCGAGCGCTTACAGTCGGACAGGGACAGCAGAGAGTACTGCACGTCCGACGAGGGCCTGGAGCCGTGGAAGGACCACTTGAACCTCTCCTTCTCTCCGTCTTTGCTTCGCTTCTTCCCAATGTCCTTTGTATCCGCTTTCTCTAACAGAGTAAAACACATAATCGATCTTTTGACCAGGAAACCTCAGACAAAACAGCCGCAAATTCCCTCAAGCATTGTTCACCTCTGATTAGGAACATTAAAACAGAGCAAGACAAAAATTTTGAAAATCAAAGTGTATTGTGAAAGGCCTGCAGCATTATTTATTATTGACTACATATTATTTTATGTTAAATGTAGATGATCATTTGATATGACTTTTGTATATAAAATTATAGTGTCAGGCTAATTTTCTCATTTTTAAAGTGAAAATCAAAGAACAGCAAATTATACACTTGAAGTTGAGTCCTAAAGGTGGAGGCCATTCAGATCTTTGTCATTTGGGGCCTCCAGCTCAAGGAAATATAGCTTGTTCCCAGAATATCTTCTGCTGAAAACTGGATGCCAAACCAATATCTTATTGTCAACATGACTTGTTTAATCACACCCTATACACAGAACTATATACACACTGTGAATTTCCATTCAAACATGCTCTCATTCAACTGGAAAAAAGGCTACGGTACATATACACAATGGAATACTAGTACTCGGCCATAAAAAAGAGTGAAATCTTACCTTTTGTGACAGCATGGGTGGACCTAGAGAGTATTATGCTAAGTAAAATAAGTCAGAAAAAGACAAATACTACGTGATTTCACTTACATGTGGACTATACAGAACAAAATAAACAAAATAGAAACAGACTCATAGATAAAGAGAACAGATTAGCAGTTGTCAGAGGGGAGGGGGGTTGATGGGCTGGGTGAAAAAGATGAGAGGATTAAAAAGTTAAAACTGGACGTTACACAGCGGTCAAGGAGATATAGATTACAGCATGGGGCATATAGTCAATGGTATCGTGACAGCTGTGTTTGGGGCCAGGTGGGTGCTTGAAGTATCAGGGGGATCACTCTGTAAAGTACACGATATTCTAACCACTATGCTGTACATCTGAAACTAATACAGGATAATACTGAATGCAAACCTTAATTGAAAAAAAAAATTTAAATTAAAAAAAGAAAAAAAAGTAGTATAAAGATTGAAAGTTAAAAAATCAATATTTTTTATTCCCTAATGAAGCTAATTCAATTCTGAAACAAAATATTAGATTTTGTCTTTTTTGTTCTTTCATGATCTGCTAAATTTGTAATCAGGTTGTTTTTTATTTTTCAATTTACATAAATAAAAACTGCAACATTTATGACTTGTAATGTTCCTTAGCCTATAATGTACACCTGTCTCATATTTTAGCTTTTACAGCAGATTTAGCACCTGTATTAGATACAAAGGTGAAGATGACTATTAACTTTAAGTATAGGAGGAGATATATAACTAGGAGACTAAAGTCTAAATCCAGGTTATCAAATTTTATTTTATGGGTTTTCTATAAATATTTTACTTCACTAAATAAAATTAATTTTAGGTAGAAATATATCATTTTGAGTACGATTTAAAAATAGGACTTTAAAAATCTTCGAACTCCTATTGAGAATTCAGAAATAATATAATTTATAATAAAATTTATAAATAGAAAAAATACACACTTCCACATAGAAATTTGGATAGTACGCAACAGAGTTTACCAGAAAGCGTTTGCCAATAACGTGTCACTCCTCGATCATTTCATCCCACCCATCTAGCAAGCGCCACTGAGTAAAGTTAACAGCTGAGTCCTACTGGAGACCACCTTTCCTTAGCCCTGCAAACGTCAGCTGCATCTCCTTTAGATCAGCACGAGACCCTTCCTCTTCCACCTCCCCCTCGCTCCCAGCTTGTCGATAAGCTGCTCCCAGAGAGAGATGGAAGCCGGAGTCAGAGAAACTCAGCGACACTCAGCTTCTCCCTGTCAGAGCCCCTCACCGCCAGCGTTCGCAACTGTGCTGCCCCGGGCCCTCCGCCGGTGGAACGGAGCAGCCCCGGCTGCCCTGGCTGGTCCAAGCTCTCCCCCGGGCTCCCCGGGTCCTTCTCTTCCTGCCCGCTCAGGAAACACTATTGCTGTAACCTCAGCTGGGGTCTCTCCATCATCACTTAAAAACACGCAGAGGGACGGCGGGGGTGCGTGGGGAGAGATGACCCTAGGACTTACCTGCGTGTAAGCATAACCCATGGACACCCGCAACAGTGTGGGGAGGCCTGGGGCGGGGTGGAGGCGGGCAGGAGGGGCCAGCGGGGGAAAGGAGGCATCTGTAATACTCTCAACAATAAAGCTACATTTAAAAAAATAGTTCTCCTTCAACAGATTAGAACATACGTATCCCGCGGGGGCCCACGCGGCCCGTCAGCTCTCGCTTTGCAGCCCTGCTGCTCACAAGCTCCTACCAGGGCTGTGCAAGTTATTTACCCTCCACCTCTTACCACTCCCACCCTGCACCAGGCCCGGTGCCCTTCAGGCCACAGCACGGCCCGGGCAGATCTGGGGGCCCGTCGTAGTTCAGCTCACTGTCTGACCGGGACCAGCTCCCCGATTCTTGGAACACTCTTCTCTTGGCCTCACTAGCAACAGGCTCTGCTGCTTTTCTTCCTGCTTATGGCCAGACTAGGTCCCCCATAGGAACTCCCGTAGTTTCCCCTTCATTTCCATTTAAGGCTTATTTCTTAGTAGATGGTTAGGATTTTTAAAGTTAACGTTAGTCTCTATCCCTAGACAATAAGATCTAGGAGGTAACTTTCACATCGGATTTTGTTCAACAAGTTAGCACTAATTCCTGGAACATTTATTGGAATTATACTCAGTAAATAGTATATTGGATGAATGGGAGGCTAGATGAATGAATGGATGGATAAATGTTCATTTGTGATACATAAAAAGGGCTTCTAAGTTCACATTACTTGGGGATATACTGGATAAAACAAATTTAATTAGGCTTTTTTTTCTTTCTTTCTTTCATACTAGTGCATATTAGGTGATTTCAAAAAGGGCTTATGATAGGCAGATATCATTCACACACTTAATCTTGGTATATTTTTGAGGGACATTTATGGTAATAATTTCTATACATTGTAATGTAGATAAGATCCTGATAAGGAATAATTGGACAAAATATCAATATTTTCTAAAATACTTGAAAGATCATAATAGATATTATCAAATATACAAAAAAACAGTATTTTCTAGAATATTTAATTCTACTTTACTATATAAGCATTATTGTTTATTTGCATGGATATACAAAATATTTTAGAAAATATAAAATAAAAAATTACATTTTCCACCTTAAAAGAAATAAAAGTATACTTGTGAAATAACTAGTTTTTCTTCTCAAATGTGAACTTTCACTTCACAATAAATGATCAAGAAATCATCATCTAATCTCTATCCATTTCATATTTCCTGAAAAAATAAAAAGGACAGCTTTGTCCTTTGCTATTTTGATTCATTTCACCCTACATGTTGTGTATTAGGAAGATGTGTTTGACGAATATTGAAAACCTAATGTCTCTTCCTATACTAATACTGTATTAATTTAGTATCATCAAACTGTATAATTGCCTTTGATTTTTAAAGAGGGCAAAATATGGAACAATAATTAACATGCAGTAAATGCCATGAAAAGTTTTGAAATCCTATCAAGGAAGGATCTTAATTATTTCCACAACACTTGATACGTGATAACAACAATAAAGAACATTAAATTCAGCAATGATTGTAAAGCATTTATATACAATATCCATGTTGAATAATGTTGTGATATAAAATGTCTTACCCTTCATAAATCTGTCACTTTTCTCAAGTGATTTTAGCGTTGTAACTGAAGGTTCAGGTTTGAATTCCTTGGTGTCTTTCACTTCTTTCCCATTTTTCGCTTCTTTCCCATTTTTCACTTCTTTCCCATCCTTCACGTCTTTCACTGGTTCTTTCACTTTGGTGTCTACCTCTGTTATTTTGCTCTCAGAGCTGGACTCATCCGTCAGCTTAAATTCAGGCAGTATCTCTTTCAAGAGCTCCCAAACTTTGTCCATATATCGTGGGCTTTGATAAAACACATCAACATTAATTTTCAAATTAAGCTTTAAATGCCACATCAAGAAATCACTGACAGAAAAAAATCACCTTACGATCTCACAAGACTAATTTCAACAGTTACAGCAAATATTAGCTTAAAACGCCATTATGCATTCACTGACTCGACCAGCTTTGATTGAGGGCCTATGGTGTGCTGGACTTTGCTGATGGAAAGAAACCAAACAAGGAATTCTGGTTCAAGATGGAGACAGGAGGACCCTAAATTCACCAATTCCCATGGACACACTGAATTACAGAACAATTTCCTCTGAACCATCCCTGCCCGCCCCCCAAAAAAACTAGCTAACTCCTACCCAACTGGTAAGTGAGAAAACCCCCACACTGATGCAGGTATGAGACTGAGACACAATCTTGCCATAAACCCAGCATAGTGACACAGCCGGAGGGGACTCACAACCCTGAGCTTCCCCCTGAGAACAAAGAGTTTGAAACCCATGTTTCGCACCCCAACTTTTAAGACCTTCCCCTGATAAATGAGCCCCCCAAACATCTAGCTTTGAAAGCCCACGGGGACTGCATCCAAAGACCCATGAGGTTATAGTTAGCTCAGAAGTGGTTCTTAAAGAGCTCACACAGACTAACCTGCCCCAAGCCTAGGGCAGAGGCAGCAAGCTTTCTGCGAAAGAGGCTTGTTTGTTTTTCTTACTGCATTGGCCTGAGGGGCAGGCTTCTAATAAACACGCATCTGAGGGCCACCCGCATTCCTCTCCACGGCCTGGAGGGCAGGTGCTATCTTCATGTGCCTCCTCTGCCGTGCATCACCCATTTACAGCGAACACTCTTAGTAACATGAGCACAGAGATCACATATGGCAGTGTGAAGGCCACATATGACAAGTCCACAGCTAACGTCCTACTCAGTGCTGAAAAGCTGAAAGCTTTTCTTCTAAGGTAAGTAACAAGGGTTCCCATTCTCACTACTTTTATTCAACGAACATTAGCTAATTATGCATCTACCTACACTAGCGACTTTTTCTGACACTTTCAGCTGTTCACTTAATCTTCAGAACAACCATCTAGGATAGGTGACTGTACGTAAGAAGAAACTGGGGCCCAGAGAAGTTCATTACTTACAAAATTCACCTAGCTTGAAATGGGAAGTTTAAGGATGTAAATCTAGCTATATAGTTCTGACTCCAAAGCTCAAGCTTTCCCCCCTTATATCACTTTCATAGATATTTCATAAGCAACTCATAAATTCATGCAAATTAAACATCTAAAATCCTTCAAATTTTTATTAATTATTGAAGTGATCTCCTTAAAATTATAAGAAAAGTATGTGAAAACTTTAATTTTTATGTATGATCCTAGCAAGAGACAATTCACAATTTTTAATTAATGAATTTTATAGTTGTGAATTATTCTGATATCCTACTTCTGATTAACTTCTGATGATTTCATGTCTCTGGTATCTTCATTGACTACTGTGCAGAGAAAATAAAGGTAAAATTGTAAGAATTCCATCAATACTTGAAGACAAAAATTTAGACAAGTCCATACTTTTAAATCCCATTGTCTCTTTATTTTTCTACACTAACATTGTCCATATTATATCAGTTAATATTCTCTTCTCTTAAGTATCAGAAAAAGATTTCCCATGAAAATATGCAAAGGAGTGCCATCTGGACCTTTTCCTAAGATAAAAACACAGGATAGCTCTCCTTCAAGAAAGTGGTCTTTTGAGGAAGGTGTCTACTCTTGAATTTTTTTCTCCTGAAAATTTTTATTTGAATCAAGTAGCAACTAGTTGATCCTGCTGAATAGACAGATGCTTTAGATGTAAAATTCAAGTTACTAGAGCCTGTCTTCAATCTCCTATAACCTGGACCCTGGGGAGCGGTAGCTTCCCAGTATCGATCAAAGATCAATGATGATTCAAATTGATAACTGTATATGGCTTTGATCTTCTTGTAAAAATCAACATCTGAATTGACGATATGTTCAGATTTATCTATATGTTTTCTTCTCTGCACTTTAACCTGATTAAGTTCCAGTGTCAATAACAATATGACCAAATGTGTCTGTAACATTTATGTGTGAAGTAAAAGTATTTGTAAGAGTTTAAGTAAGCATTACATTAAATGGTCTCTCTTTATGTGGATGTGGATAAACAATATCTATATAGTTCGACACATAGGAGAGAAAGACTGTGGGCTTTGGACCCAGGAAGACTTCAATTCAAATTTTATCTCCTTTAGGTACAATGTGAACAGGTTTGGTTGACCGCTCTGAGCTTCAGTTTCCTCACTTGTAAGGATATATACCTAGTTGATGGGGTCCTATGGATAAGATTAAATAAGATAATCTTTTAAAGATTGTGGTTTTTAATTAGAAATAATATATTAAACTGCATAATGCCTAATAACATTATTTTAATATTTGTAATTCAGATATTTTAGGACTAAATCATACACACACACACACATAGAATTTATCCTGAAATTCTCAAGGAATTCTATATAAAACTATAAAATGTTATTCTCCCAAACATTTTTGTAAAATGTAATATTTCTTGAAATTTTTTAGAAAACTAAAACATCTTTTGGTTAAAGAAACTTTGGTGGGCAAGAAAGAAAACATACGGAAGTAACTTAATGGTCAAACCTACTGGAGAGGAATGACTTCCGGTAACCAGCCTGTAAGCGCATGAATCACGGTGCACTCGCCCAGCTCTCTCTTCTCTGCCATGTGGATGCTAAAGTAGCAAATGCACAGTAGTATAGTTATACATTAGAGCACAAGGAAATACTATTCCAACAGTCAGATGACTTTTTGTTAAAGCACTTAAGTAGATCCAATGATAAAATGTGATGCCCATTTACAAAACATGATTACAAGCTTTATTTTTAAAAGTTATGAATTAATATTAATCTCATATATATAACATATTCATACATGCTATATATTTTTAATTATATAGCTAATATATAATATATTTTATATATTTAATATATTATGATGTTGTTCTTTTAAAAATAGAATGGTATCTTTTATGTTTGTGATTTCAGTAATTATTCTAAGATGCCCATGAAGCTGTGTGTTGTCAGTCTCATACATGGCAGGTCAAAATGGGCATCAGACATCCTCAATTAAATTATTAGATAATTTCAGAGAAACCAGAAACATCTGTTTTATCCTGTACAAAACAGTGGATGTGCCTCCATAGCATAAAATAAAACAAAACTGTGATCTACCAAATATCACTCTTCTCATTTTAATTTTTTAAAAATTTTTTCTGGAGTGATTAGTCTATTTACAGTAACACGCATATCCCTGTTCTGCCCAGGAGTCACAGCTTCTGTCGACCATATGCCAATGGTGGTGATTGACTGATGGATTGACATGTCTCCGTATCTCAAAGATAACAAGTATCTACTGTGATAATTCACAGTCTAGTTTAAATTCCTCTTTGAATAATCATATGTAGGAAGTGACAAACCTCATAGAAATAATGGTTTTTCCTTTGCATATCTCACAATGCTATTGAAACAACTACTAAATATTAATTTTAATGTAGAAAGCTGAAAATCACATGACAATAAATAAAATCTGAGAAAAATGCATAGATAAATATAAATTGCACCATGTAATGCAGGTTCCCCTAGAAAGCCTAAGAAATGTCTTACGCTTAGTCTGGCCTTTTATTTCCAAGCTGGATATATTTAATTTTTTAAAATAACAATAATTCTATCACTCAAGTTGCTATAAAATTCTACTGAACTATAGCTTTAAGAAAGACAAAATGCCACTCCAATTATTCAGGTTGTGCATTTAATGCCTCACTGGACTTGCAGCTCTAATTCTCAGAACTTCAAGTGAGGTTTGACAATTTGGATCCTTAGGAACATTATTTTCTTTCAAAATAAACAAACGTAGTTGTCTCTGATGTGAATACTTAGTAGTGTTCAGCTATCAAAACAATCTAGGATGAGTTATATATTTATTTATTTATTTCTGTTACAGGATGAAAATAGTTGAACTTAGATTTATTTTTATAGAAAATAAAACATACACTAAGATTTACTAGTATTCAATAATAAATAGATTGACACTGGTCTCCTCTCTCAGCCCACATGTCCAAAGGTCAGTTGCTCTGAATGACAGAGCAGAAAACCTGAGGAAACCCCATAATTTAGAGAGGCTACTAGCAACACCATAATTTGTTTTTAGGGTTAGTTTTATGAAAACTAGATTATCAAACCTATAAACCCACGCAACCTGTCACACATAAACTGCAGTGTATTCTAGTGCCCCCAAATCAAATAAATTATGAGATGAGTTTTTAAAAAAAATCATTGAAATTAAGGGCTGCAAGCTGGGCCAAACAAATTCCCAGTAGACAGCTGAGAGTTGGTTAGAGAAGAGGGAGAGGGTGGCAGGAGGAGTGGTAGTTTCGTTGCGATGCCTTGGGAGAGAAAAAGGGAGCTGAGCTGAAGAAACTTCAGGAAAAGCAGACCTGGCGCCTGGCGGCTCTGCTGTGTTTGCAGAAGGGGAGGGGGCTGAGCTTTGAGCAAACAGCCGCCGGGATCTGCTGGAGTGTGAGTGCGCCCTGAACACTGAGGTGCTGTGACACGCTGCAGGGCGGGAAGGGTGTCTGTTCCAGCTGGTACAATGTGTGTGAGCACCCTCCCACCCAGGGGGACGCGAAGAGGCCACGCGTCGGCAGCTCAAGCATCGAAGCTCTTCTGCTCTGCTGGGGCCACAAGGTGTGCCCACAGGCCTCCGCACTCGGAATCTGAGAGAATAAATGCAGCAGGACTGTCTGTTCTATGTTGGTGCTCAAGTCATGCAGGAATCTGAGACACAAGCAGATTTCATAAGAATACTGAAGAAATATGAATAGTTCTCATCATGAGTGTGGTAAAAGGGACCAATGTGATCAAAAGCATCAGGAGCATGTCGGCCTCCTTCAGAACAGTCCAGGTTTTCCAAGATTATCAAATTATTGCTGCATATCTGGAACCTAAACCTTTACTGGATTCCAACATATATTATTCAGGATTTAGATGAATCAATATTTTCCTCTACAAAACAACTTCTTTCTCATTAAGCTGAAACATTATTTTCCACAACTGACTTTCCATTCATACAGAGCACTGGAGATAGAATAGTTGTTTGAGCACTTTCACTGGTGGGGATTTCATTTGATTGCTGGCTAACCCAATACTTCACATCAAGTTTACATTGTTTGAAAAGAAACCTTTTTAAAACATATATATATTTTTTTAAATAAAGCTGTGCTACAGTTGTTTTTCCTGTGGTTTGCCTTTGTGTCTCTATGCAAATGAGCGATAATTCTACATTCTACTTACTCGACATTTGCCAGCTTAATGATTGCTTTAGACAAAAGCACTGGCCAGAGTTCAAATTCACAAGTTGTAGCTGGAAGCAATAGATTGTTATCTTCGTCAAAAGGCAGGAAGTCATCAATGGTTATCTTTCTCCAGCAACCCTACAAACGGGAAGACAGGAATGTATCACCATCAGTGGTTTGTATTTCTTTTACCCCTACATGATTATACAGGGAGGGGAAAAGGAGGTTTACCATCATGGGTATGTGACACGGAGTTTATTCTCGTATTTTTATTTATTAATTATTATATTATCTTCTACACAAACAACTGTAAACCTACTTTTGCTCTACCCCTGCATCCTGCTGACATTATTATTTACTGTTTTATAACATTTTTATAATTTTATTTTAACTTCTTACATCTAAAGACTGGCATACTGGTCTTCAGTACTACTCTGCCTCAGAGTTTTAGCTTATTATTTTCCTTAGTGTAATCACAGCACATTCAAATCCGGACATAGACAAGCATCTGTCTTTACTGATGAGGTCTTGCAAGCACATCCGTGCGAGCCCCGCCCTACACAGTGCAGCACGTTAGTGCTTCCAACGGCAGAACCGCAACACTAGGCACCCACGCATGAACTGGGGCATAATTAAAGAACTTAATATAGTCATACAGAAAATTTTCCAAATATAACTTTAGTAATTATTATTTATCCCGATAAGCTCAGTGATCTTATGCTTCTAACGATCATGCTGCTCCCATTCATAATTAAAGATCTAATTTTTTAATGTGAAGTTAATTAATGCTTTATTTAATAAAATCATTATATATTCACCTATATGCATATTACTTTCACAATTAAAAGATTGAAACAACAATAACATTAATGATTGTGAACTCAAAGTGTTTTTTTTAACTTTGGTTTTACATATAAAATTTATTATAAATTGATTCCTTCACCCAATAAATATTTTCAGCAGTGATCCAAGCATTGTGAATCCAAACACTGACATCACACAGTACCCATATCATTTCATTGAATTTTTAAAGTTTAGCGAGGAAAGAAATATATGCAAACAATATAAAATACAATACGTTCAACCTCCTCTAGGACCACGAAAGAAAAGTGTAACTAATTTTGCTAATGTCTTCACAAGGAGGTGGCATTTAAATGCAACAGCCAAGGAACACTGTATTTTCCCCAGGTAGACAGGAGCAATAGAGTAAAAAATGTTTTCTTTGTATGACACTTGCGACTATAAACTTGCATTGCCTAATTTAGTGGTTATATGTATTTTTCTTTCTTCCCCAATAGATCAAAATGGAATCCTATGAAATGTTCAAGAAACTCACAGGAGGACAGGGAAAGGGAAACAAATACAAGAAAACAAAACAAAACAAAAAAATAGACATAACAGAGTGAACAATAAAATGGCAGACTTAAACCCCAATTATATCAAATATAAAGTACACACAAATCAGAATAAAAGAGTTACTAAATATACTGATCAACATTAAGAATTTGCAAGTATTTTGATAGAAAAAATAATTACACATGTAGAAATCCTAGAAAAAAATAGTCATGCAAATGGCCAAAAATCTTTACACAAAGATGCTTTTTTACGGCATTATTTGTATCGGTAAAACACTGGTCCATGACCCAAATGTCTGTCAATAGGAGATTAGTAAAATATGTGTAGTCGTTGTATTCGAACAATGGAAGACAAGGTAGATAAACTGGCATAAAAAATGTCCGTGGTTAGGAAAAAATACTTTCAGAGCAATAACTACTACATGATCTTATTGTTGCTACAAATTATACAAAGTAGGGTTTGCATAGGTTTACAAAAAAGAAGTTTAGGAGGATATACAGAAGTCATTTTCTGTGATGTCTATGTAGGTAGAGTCAGGGAACTTCCATGTCTACTCTGAACATTTTAACAGTGTTTGCATTTGTTTTACTAAAAGCATGTAGAAAGTTAATAATGGAATAAGAATAAAAAAATTATATTTTGTAAAAAAGTAATTGAGTGCTAGAAAATGGTATATATCTTATTTATATAGTTTAAACAACAACAAAAATATCACCAGGTGGGAGAGAGTTTGTTTCAAATGCCGACGGCAGGCTCCCCCCAGAGACTGACTCAGGGGGTCTGGGCTGGGCCATGGGAAGCACCCAAGGTTTTCTGCATCTCCACAGTTTAAGAAACTGAATTCAGGCCTGGCCAGGTAACTCAGTTGGTCAGAGCATTGTCCCAATAGGCCAAGGTTGTGGGTTTGAGCCCCAGTCAGGGCACATACGAGAATCAACCAAGGAAGGCATAAATAAATAAATGAAACAATAAATTGATGTTTCTCTCTCTCTC